TCGCCATTAATCGAAAACTTATAAATTGTCATAACTAATAGACTAGAGCAGAAAGCCTTTAAAATAATAAAATTCATAGTCGGTTGAAACCCATCAGAAACAAAAGATATAATGACAAACATTAAAGTAAAAAGAAGTAAGGAAAGGCTAAGTTTGGGGTAACTGAACATTTCATACTCTTGCAACTTTCAAGGATCAAATCCGAAAAAATACATATATGTATACCTTTAGGTGTTGGCAAAGCTTCCTATTCACGACTCACTATGTTATTTGACGAAATCGTAAATTATATATATAAGTTATATTATAGGTCATAGACTCACTTAGCAAGCGGTAACTTGAGTAAAAATTGAGATATCTTGATGAAACTTGGTACACATGTTTCTGGGCATTGTAAGACGTTTGGTATTGGAAATGGTACCATGGCGTAATCGGACCTTTGCACGACCACAAAATTGATCAAATCAAGTCAATAGTACCCCATATCCTACTTATAATAATTTTCGTTATTTTAACAAATTTTATTCCGATAATTTCGGTCAGTGAGTATTATTTATATATAAAATTGCTTCAAAATATATTTTAGAGTATACATGAGGAACGTCAAAATTAATGCAATCAGCCCGTCCCTTCCTCTAGAGCCAATACACTCCGTAAAATGAGTTCCGTCTTTCCACTTGTCTTTTAACCGTTTAGGTTGGTCAAAATGTTTGATATTTCAGTGGAATTAAGTGAACAAGTTTTCTTAAAAATTACGTGGTTTAGCGCTTAATTATAATGGAATTGGTCTATACCTTGGTTTAAACCTCATATCCCTATTATAATGAATTCCGATCCTTTGGTAGACGTTTTTCACATCAACTCAATATATTAATATCACATACATATATGTATCTCATTTGAAGGTTAATATAGTTTTAGCTAACGCGAAGTAAAATATACAGGAAAACTAAGTCTAAGTTTATGGCCTTCAATATAAGTCAAGAAGATACCAAATTTGATTGTAATTTATACACGATTTCATCGAATAATGGATGTTTAATTCATTGACAACATTTTTTAATATAAAGTTTTGCCAGCACCTGAAAGAATTCCCGAGCTTTGATTCTGGCAAGTTGCAAGATTATAAAATATTACACCCGAACTTTGCCCTTCCTTACTTGTTTATTTTTATCTTGTGCAACAAAATTTTTTCTTTCACGAAATATGGTGTAAACTTACATTCCTGTGTCCAAAACACACGGCATTTTTATACCCTGAACAGTGTATATTAAGTTTGCCACGAAGTTTGTAACACCCGGGGACGCTATAAAATATATACGCCCGTCTGTCCGTTTGCCTGTATATATACGAACGCGTCTCTCAGTTTTTAAGCTATCGATTTGAAATTTTGCACCTGTCCATTAAGAAGCTGCTCATTTGATGGATATCGGACCAATATAGCATATAGCTGCCATTCAAACTGAACGATCGGAATCAAGTGTTTGTATGGAAAATTCTTTCATTTGACGAGGTATCTATAATAATAATGGAATCTCCGAAGATATTGTATAGATCGGATTATTATAGCATATAGCTGGCATATAAATTGAACGATCGGAATCAAGTTCGTGTAGGGAACCTTTGTATCTGTGAAGGGTATTATAACTTCGGTGCAACCGAAGTTAACGTTTTTTCTTTTTTTTATTCAAAATATTTATTTTTGTCCTAATATTGCTCTAATATCAAAAAAAAATACAAATTTTCAATCAAAAATTCTCAAGTCAAACTTTCAAATTTTTTTTAAATGCGAGTAGGCTTGTAATTGTTGAAACCTCCACTATTTATACCATAAGAAAGTAGAGGTTTCAGCAATTATTAAGCCCACTGACTTTTTAAAACAAATTTAAAATTTGACTTGACAACTTTCGATTGATATTAATTAGTATGTATAGTAATTTCCAACTTCCCAGCTGACTATAAACCTTTTAAGTTGGTCAAAATGTGTTTTATAATATAATTAGCGGACGCGCAGTAAAATATAGCAATAAAACTAAGTGGGTACATGATTATCAAAATAAGTTAATAATAATAAGATACTAAATTTGATTGTAATCCATTCGTGATTTTATCGGATAAAAAATGTACAATTCTTTAGCAATATTTTTTAACATAAAGTTTTGCCAACACTTTAAGGTATTTCTTGATCCTTCAAGTTCCAAGAGAATGAAATGTTCGGTTACGTACACCCGAACTTAGCCCTTCCATACATGTTTGCTTTGTCTTTTCAATGTATGTTATGGGCACTTGTAAATCTGAGCTTTCGATGTTTTCAACATTATTATGACATCATTAGATGCTACATACGAGTATATAAGTAATTACTGTTTCGTGACCTTAACCCTCACAAATGCAAACAAACTCTCGCACACACTCTGCCCCTAAACAGCAAGAGTGGAACTTTTTATCTCTCAATTTCTGTTTCATATAGAATGGAATTAATTATAGGCAAATCACCATTTCGCACTTTCGGCCGATTGCCCTCAATCTTACTTACCTGGTTTCACTAGGTGCCTACTCTGCTCAAATTTCAATCTTATTTAAAAGTTTTTGAGAAACCCGTTCATTTGTTTTCTTTTTTTCATATTTATTTATTCCTTTTTTGTGTTATAATTTTACAAAAAAAAATTTAAATCGAGTTCTCCTGTGCAAAAACATTTATGGTTAGTTCACAGTACTCACCGAAGCAATTGTTTTATGTTCGCCATATTGGTTCGACTTAATTTAAGTCATATTTAGTTGAATTTATTACTGCGATAAAATTATTAGTTGCAAACTAGTATTATTTGAACGATAATACCATATACAGTCATGTCTTCGAACATTAATTATTTTGTGCATAAAGTATATTCAGCGGGAATATAGCAATTTCGATTTATATATTATTATTTGTAACTTTAAATAGCCACGTCTGGTTTTATTAACGTTTAAAGAACAACTAAAGTCTTCTAGTTAACAAGTTCAATGCAGTAATCAAAATTCAGTATAAATACATATGTACATACATTTGAATATGGCTCACACACCTCACGGAGTATCTGTGTTACACGAACGAAATTTTTAACACACATGCAAACAAACATAGACATGTGAAAGAACAAACGAGCACTCAGCACGACTCAACTTGAACTCTATATATGTATTTACAAAACTGGTAGTGGAACTGCGTTGCTACCAAGTCTTTCGTTCGCCGTTTCATTGGTTATACCCTCTTAATTACAGTTACCAACATGGTGTCTTTCGCACGAAATTTTGTGAATCATTCAGTTCATTTATTGTTGCGTTACTTAATACTTTTTTAGTTTGAAGACATTCAAACTAAGAATTTTACAAATAGTGATTGTATATTCAATTTCATACAATCCTAAACCATTAACCTATTCGAAGGGCAGTGTAATATTTGATTTTGATTAATACAATTTATATTGTATGCGAAAAGTCATTAAATTAAAATAAATTAAAAAATTGGTATTTTTAGACTAGATTTTTATTTTTCAAGGTATTTGGTGATTTTCAATTTCCAAACTTAGTACCCGGTGGAATTCCAATATGCCGGAGTGAGCGAAAACTGTAAAAAGAATAAAATCAAACATCTTTCTGAAGCTTTTAAGCAAGTAAAACCAATGACATTCTACAGAGGTTTATTATAAAAAACATTGTACTCTATATGAATCAACCATTTACCGAAAATATTTTATACTCTTGTTCACCTAACGGTTGTACGGATATAGGTTTACATACAAGTATATACAAAGGGTCAGAATGATGAAACGAGTTAAAACCCGGTTGATTGTCTTGTCGCCCATCTTTGCTAGCTGTAACTTGAGTAAAAATTGTTACACAACTTTCTTACTGCCACTCCCACAAAACTTCTAAATTGCCATAATTAAGCCCAAAATTAAGAAACAACCCATTATTTGGAACAACGAACCGCAATAACTGTGCTTTAAATTTCATTATATTATCGATTTAGCGCTGAACATGAATGAAGTTGGTCTAGACCTTGGTCTTAATCTCATATCCCAAATATCATCAATTCCGATCTTCTGATTGCCGTTTTGCACATCAACAAATATATTAAATTTAGCCTCTTCTGTTAAGTTAGTCAGATAGGATGGTTTTAATATAATTTTCGTCGAATAAAGAATGTTGAGTTCCTTCGCATCTATTTTTAACATGAAGTTTTGCTAACACTTAAAAGTATTTCCCCAGCTTTGATCCTTGAAAGTAGTAAAGGTATGAAATGTTCGGTTACACCCTTGTTAGATATTAGTTTTATAAAATTATTCCATTCGATTCGTTGGGTTGCAGTACTTCACATCGACAGACTTGAGCGATTTGGCTTTGCCATTAAAGCAATTAACCTTTTTCCAATTCTTATTAATTTATAAAAAAAAGATTATAAATTAAAAATGTTCAATAAATTTGAATGAGATAATTTAACTGAAATATAATGCAAATTAGATATTGGATTTCTCTCAAGGTGTATGTACTACATTAAATATTTCTGGCAAACATTAAACCACCTATTCCTGGGTTTTTAACAATATCCAAGCGTATTACTATACATATAAATAAATATGTATTATGTGTAATATGAATGAATATTAGTATTATTTTTTATTTTTAAATAGTTTCATTGATACAGGAAGCAACTTCAGTAAGAATGGCATTTAATTGAACAATGGCTAGATCTGCAGCCTTATGTGTGCATTCATCCGCTTCAGAAAACACTGCAGGAACACGACTCTTAGCACCTTTGATAGTATTTATAGACCGACGTGTGTTTTTAATGTACAATGTAGCTTTAACCGTTAGTTTAGCGTAACAAGAATTCTTTAAAATACTGTTTTTGTAATTTTTGCATTTTTGATAGAGTTTTAAAACGTTATAACCGTCAAATACTATCTCTTGAGTTGCAGTGTTAACGTCATTCATAATTCCTTCTGATGTTTTAACAGCAATACTACCGCAGACATTAATTTCATCATGGAAATTGTCCACAACGATCTCAACTTCTGGCTCCTTAACTTCTACACACTTTGGACTCTCTTCGCGGCGATCCTCAATGTTCTGCACGACAGTGTCAACTTGGTTTGTGGGTTCTACAACGATTATTTTGTATTGCAATTGCAAAGCGTTAGCAGTTCGAATAGTAGTTGCTTGAGCTTCTTTTATAAAATCATCTACAATTCCTTCATAGTTAACATTTGGCAATGCAACTTGTGTAGCACTAATCTAAAAAGGATATTTATGTATTTCACATTCTAAATTTTAAGAAATGTATAATAATTACCGCATTCGCAAGACAAATAAGTATTATTGCTGTGAGGACTTTCATTATTTCAGTTAATGTTAGCTGACGAAGAGTTAACGACTATTTCATTTTAAATATCATGGGGCTATTTTATAAGTCCCAATCATCCATTGTTTAGATTATAGAAACTTTACGATTACCATCATAAATCACACAGTCATTCAGACATACATATGTATACCTTTTGCAGCGGCACCGTTTTTTTATAAATTATTTCTAATTTTATTGGACTTTCATTTTTAGTTTTAATCTTATAAATATGTTTTTGTATTAATTTATCCTATAAGTTGAATTTCATACTGAACAAACAATTTTGAAAACCAATTTGATCAGAATTATAACCTATAGAACCTATAGTTTTGGTTATATGTCTTATTTACATATACATTTGCGGTCTAAATAAATTTTCTTTGCCTAAGCGATAAAACTTATTTTTTATTTTGTATCACATTATATATTCACTAAATTTTTAATTATCAAATCATTTTGAACAGCATGTATTTACCATATCACAATTATAGTGTATTTGTCCCACTGTACAATGTGGATAAGAATTAATTCGCTAATTTTAGATTAACCAATGCAAAACAATTAATGATGGATTTGCTATTATAAAATAGCTTAATCGTTTCCTTTTCCAGACTGTTTCCAAAGCGCTACACTTACATATGTACGTATGCAATTGATTGATGATGGAATTGCTATTATAAAGTAAAGTTACTTAAATCTTTTCTTTTTTCACACTAATGTCAAAACTTTTTAGTACATACATATTTATATACTTATATGTGTACATATGTAATTGAAATAATTATTATGTATACGTATATTAACGATGTTGTTTTACCATTTAGTTACCAAAAGTACTATCTAAAGAATATACACATCTATCAATTTATCAATACATATACGCATTTAAATATGTTTGTATACCGTTAATATTATAAACACACAATTGACTATGACTAGCCTCAAACAACTTTTTTGCCATTCCACCACTCTAATTGTATCTAAATAACCAGTTCAATTTTTGAATTATGAAAATACTCAAAAATAATAGTAAAATAAGTGCTTACATTAAACTTAATACCTATGTTAATATTACTTTGAATTAACTATAAATGTTTACGGATCTGACCTAAAGTAGTTATCTTATTTATATATTAAGCATATTAGCAAATGAAGTTACATCTCCACACAGTAAATCATTGTCACCCCTCCTATTGCTCTCTTCATTTCGTTAAGCATGCATTCATCGAGACGAATTACATACGTATATGTATATATGTATGTATATATTATATATATGCAACTTGGGTAAAACATAAGCCGATTCCATACACTTTTAATACCAAACAACGTATTTGTATATTGATTTAATGGTCAATTAATTTCACTAATATATATATCATATTGACCGATATTTTCAGTAAAAAGTCTATTATTATTCTTTTTGTGAAACTAGAAAACGTGTGTACCGTTTTACAAATTGCAGTTTACGAAAAAATGCCACATATCGCATGTACACACAGTCGGGTCTATGTATTGAAAGTACACGGAATTTTATCCGTCCAAGGACGGTCAACCTCACAGTATTCCTCAATATGAGGGCTGTTTTCTGCCGATGCAGGAACAACAATTACTTTCCCCAACAAATGTAAAGGCAAGCTAATGCGTTACGACTGTTGGACATCCTCAATCAATATTTCTCAAACAATGGAGCGATGTATAAAAAATTAAAATTAGAATGAATAAAGTATTTTCAAATACATCTGATTACGAAGTTGGTTCAAAATGATTGGTGGCTATAGTCTTATAAATATGTTTGTGCTTTTTAGCCTTGAAAAAGCTTAAAATATTAATTATTGAAAACTATAAACTGATAATGTACTTGATAATAATTGTACCTAAAACCCTATTTTACTCTTTAAAATTATAAAAAATGAACATTTGATTCGATTTGTACACATTATTTTCATAAGATGAAGTGGATTTTTAAAGTGGTTTTGCAAAAATCGCTTAAAAAAATTCGAAACGAGGTTAAGTTGTACAGTGGGTTGTTGTTAGCAAAAATAAGCATAAAATTCATGTGAATGATATGAATAAGTATTTGTTATGAAAAAAATGTATTTATTGCGTGTTTATATACATATATAACATATATATTTTATATATGCATATTTTATATATACCTTTGTCCAGATTTTCTAAAAATGAAGATATAAAACAGCTTTGGATTATTTTTTTCGACCCAAAAATTTAAGAATTTTCTCCGATAATTTTAAAGTATATGATTATATGATATATTACACAATAAATTCAAATTTGAGTCTATCTTAATGTGCAATAAAGTGGTACGAATAAATTATTTTTCAAATCAAAAATTTTATTTTTATTTCGAATATATCCAGTAGTTGGGACTAAAAGTTAAAAATAATTTATATTCCAGTTTGTGGGATTAATGTTTTTTTTTGTTAAACCCGTATTTGGGATTACAAAATACAAAATAAATAGCAATTCATATGTTAATTAAATTATTTTTTTAGTGCATTATTTGCGACTCTGGTTACGATACAAGCGAAAACAATTTTTATATATAAGGGTGGAAGGTATCTTCCTTCCGCTTTTTTGTCTTTTGAATTTCGCGGCTATGTACAAAGCGCTACAGAGCTCGTATCTGGCAACACTATACATAATTTGAAAGGTCTTGACATAACCTACAAAACAACGCTATGCATGATTATTTTGGATATTGCGTTCAACAGTTATAGACGTGTAAACATGGAGTTCACTAACGCCGAAAAACGACACCATGGATAAGCCAGCCGGCGGAAGACCTGTGACGACAAATACCGATCAAATCATGGAATACATCGAGTTAGACCGGCATAGGGCATCTCGTGACATCGCCCAGGAGATGGGAGTTAGTCACCAAACCATTTTGAACCATCTGCAGAAGGCTGGATACAAAAAAAAGTTTGATGTTTGGGTGCCGCATAATTGACGCAAAAAAACCTTCTGGTCTATAAGCGTCCAAAAATATTTGGAAGAAGCTAATTGCCTAAAATTTCGTTACTAAATTAAACGATTTTTTTAAAACCCCTTGATCTCTTAATAGAGATATATCAGGTAATAATAAGATAATGAATGATTTATTTTTCAAATTCGTCCCACTCTATGACGTCAACGGTTGCTGTAACCTTGTTGTCTATAATTATGATTTATGAATTACCGCTTACAATTTAAAATTTTAAAAATTTGAGTTTTTAATCCAAAATTTTTGATTTTACAGATTTTCACATATTTTCGGCATTAAATTAAGGTAAGTAAATACATACATGTATTCAATATTATACGTTCAGTTAATTTTGCTAAAATATCTTATATATTGAACGATATGTACGGTATAAGACCAACCGGAAGTTTGAAAATCTTTAATTATTCTTTTCGATTTATCGATTCGATTTTATCTATTTTGATTTTCTCTGAATTTCATTAAGGTACCTCACCTCCCATTTACAACATATAAGTAGTAAAGTCAAATCCTGATATTAGTTATGTGGCGGATAGGGCAAGTTAGGTACAGAGATGCACCGTTCGGAATAATACACGCTCACTCAATTTAATTAACTCACATATTGGCCGATATATCGCGTGTAAGGTCAGCCGGAAATTCGAAAATCTATTACGTATTTGGGGTCTAAGGGAAATATTGACCCGATTCAACCAATTTTTGACATACCGTTATCAGGAAAGGATTGTATCCTTATTTCACTCACGCAATGTCCTATATATTCTCTAAAAAGTCAGTCATAGCCCCTGACGTTTACATTTCCGGTTTCTGGGGCTCGAGCAGTTATGGTCCGATTTTGACAATTTTTAGACCTGAAATGGCATACCTTAAAGGCACTATTTGGGCAAAGTTTTATCCCGATAAATTATTTGGTGCTTGATTTGTATAATGGAACGTGAAAATATCACATAGAATTTAAAGTTGTGTTATATGGGAAGTAGGCGAATTTATATGAATTCCGAATGACTGTCTGTCTGCAAACTATAACTCGAGCAAAAATTTAAACGAGAGAAAATGCAATTGAGTTCAAAACCGTAAAGGGGCATACGTTTATCATTCATCATTCATAGTTAAAGAATTAATTCCTATTTTTTTGATGTTGAAAATATCTAAGGTTACCAAGTCTACTAAAATATGTACAAAATATTCCATCATTACTTAAATATTTGTGATTTTATTATAATAATTTTACTGTCTCACATTTTAAAACCCAACGGTGCTTATAATAGAGATAATGAGAAATACAAATGTTACAACAAAATTATTTTGTTTGCTGTTTTTGAATAAAAAAATTTTACACATTTACAAAGGAAACATTTAAAGTATTTTTATAGTTAAACTTCATTTAATGAATTTTGTATTTATATAATATGGTTATTTAAAATTTCATATTAAAAATGCATAATACAGTAACTAAATTAAGACAGTACTTACGGATATTAAGTATTACTGTACATATAGGTAAAAACAGGTGTAATTTATGTTGGGAAAATATTATCTAAGCTATGAAGAAGTTTTTGTATGCAATAAACTGAAGTTGATGTTTGCATACAATGACCATTTCGTAAGAATGCTTCAAATTGAGATTTTATTAGAACTCGTAGTTGTAAAAGCATTTTAGCGTCTTTGGTAGGTAATTCAAATTTTATCCAATGATCTAAAGACATTATAGCGCTTTGGTTATTAACTGCTGTAGGTTCTGATAACGAAAGTGCTTTTACGCTTTTATTCAATAATTCGTTTATTTTTGTTTCTGAACCAACTTCTGTAGACTCTAAAAGGAGTTCTTCGTTATCTGAAACTTCAGAGTTGTCCGATATGTCTTCATCCAGTAAACAGTCTTTGCCACAGTGAAGAATAATTACTATAGGTGAAACTACAGTGTTCATGTTTATGGAACAAGTTTTCCCAACACGTGTTTTTTCGTAGAACACCACCCAATCGTATGGCAACTGATCAATGAATTCTTTAAAATTCTTCATACCTGGTGGGTTCAATGCCGATGTCCGTTGTAGAAGCAATCGTTTCTCGGCCCCCGACATTAGAGTTTTATGTTCACGATCAATTACTGCCACATTAGGATAGAAGCCGGCAACCAAACAGCAACGAACAATATTCCAATCATCATTGAATAGAGATGTTTCTTGGCCTATATGAAATTTTTGGGCTGATAGGTCAGCTATTTGACGCCGCGTCGCGCAAAATGTTTCCATAGCAGAGTGTGACAGGAAGTATTTGCTACAGAAGTCTCGAACACGTTTTTTATTGTTGCGAACGGAGCAGTAAGATTTATATAATAACAAAATACCCAGTTGATCACTGAATGTCTTCCCTGCAAAAGATTTACGTTGGAATGAAGCATGACCTTGGGCTGCACGGTCTGTTGGTAAGATGAAAGGATCTTTTACAGAGTGATAAGCGACAATAGTCAATATAGAATCAAAACATTTTAAAAAAATTCCATACATCAAGCACTTGCCAAGCTGGACATCCAGAGGAATTTCAACTAGATGTCTGCCTAACTCCGTCACGTTTTCATCTCCATCAAAAACTTCTAAGATTTGGAGTTTCCTAATAGCATTCTGTACACTTACGTTTGAAGGAGGGTTTAAAGAACGAGCTAAATATGATTGTACATCGCTTTGACGATCTAACGTCTTCGCGTACAAGCAAATTTCGGTCAATGGAATTCGCATAAATTCGGGAACACTAAACATTGGCATATAGTCATATGTTGCCGTAGAAAATAATCGATAACAAACACCATTCTGAGTCCGACCAGCACGTCCAGACCGTTGATTTGCGTCTGCCTTTGATATCCATACCGACTGAAGTTGAGACGATTCCGTGATTGAATCATGTGTTTTCATTTTAACTTTTCCCGAATCAATAATGTAGGCTAAATCTGGTATTGTTATTGACGTCTGTCCAATGTTTGTAGATAGTATTATTTTTCGGACTAAATGTCTTTGGAGTGCTTCGATCTGATCGTTTGAATCCATCTGACCATGAAGAATGCAAATCCGAAATGTGTTAACTGGAAGTGTACTTTGAATAAGATCTCTTTGTTGCACTATATCATTGTATCCTGGCAAAAATACCATGATAGCACCAGGATGGGGACTACGATATAGACCTTCTATTAGTGACAAAATCAGATCATGATCAACTTCATTCTCATCATTAAATTGCTTCTGATAGGCGTATAAAATACGTTGCTTTTCGTTCAATTCCTGGTTTAATATCTTCTGATCTTTATGGACAATATCTAGACTTTGCAATATTTTCATACAAATTTTATCCGAATGCATGTTCGCGTAATCGAGAGAAGTTAAGCCTTCAACATTAACTAGATGGACATTGGCTTTATGATGCAGAAATAGTTTCAAATATTTTGGCAAATTACATTTACTAGCCGCCATAAGTGCGGTTGTGCCTATAAGATATGTTAAAATAATTATAGTTAAAAATAATTATACGAATTATTGTTTTTACCTGTTCGTGAATGCACCATATCTACTGGCATACCTTCACTTTCAATAAAATACTGAATTTGATCAAACAAAGCGAACAATTCCTCTTCGCATCGGTAGTTTTCAGCAAAACACTGATCAATAAGGGCATCTAGACTGAGTTGTAAATGTGTATCATTTATATTTGATTGCATCCCATTTGATTTACACTCATCTTTGTCAGTGTTCGTATATATTTCTTTACACTTTGGTGCGTCAATTTCGTTCATTGAGCGTAAATATTTTTCCATTAAAGCGGTTCGGTAGCCCGTTCTATAAAGAATGTCTTCAAGGTGGAATATTTTTACATTATAGCCCTGACCGGGTACATTTACCACTGGACAATTTTCGAAGTATTTTGACAGTAAATTTATATCCATTGTAGCTGACATAAGAATAACTTTAAGATCTTTATTTTTCCGTAGTTGGTCTTTAATGGTTATAAGTATAAAATCTGTGTACTTATCTCGTTCGTGAATTTCATCTATTACTAAATGAGATATTTTTCGAAAGAAATCGTTCGTATCAGTCATTATAGAACGTAGGAGACAACCACTTGTTGTGTAGATTAAATTTGTATTTTTCTGAACACGACCTTAAAATTAATATTAGGGCATTATATAAGCGAAATTTTTTTGGACAATTATCCCTTACATACTTTCCAAACGTATTTGATAACCAACAGTATTTCCGATTTGTTCACCTCTTTCTTCTGCCACTCTATGGGCGACAGAAACCGCTGCTACTCGTCTCGGTTGTGTAACAACTATTCTACATGACCGATTTCTACGCGTACTATCGTTTAAAATATATTGTGGCACTTGTGTGGTTTTCCCCGAACCAGTTTCTCCACTAATTATTAAAATCTGAAAACTTAAAATCATTAATAAAATTTAAGTTCCATTAACTTGATTTATGTACTTACGGGACTTTGTTTCAAAATTTTATTTATTTCATCTTGATAAAAATAAATTGGAAGTTCCTTTTTATCTCGATAAAGTTCGTTAGATATGCGATTTGGATGTGGTGGCACAAGACGAGGTCCCAATCCACCTAATAATGCCTCGCTACGAATTCGGTTCTTTTTTTGTAGACGTTGCCGACGTTCAAGGTGGCTTCTCTCACTTGAAGGGGCGTCATACAAATGTAATTTCTCCAATACCGATCGACTAGCAGACGACAATTCAAATTTACGTAAACATCCTGATAATTTAAGACGTTTACGGTGTGTAATATGTAATACACGGTTATTTTTCGAACCATAGCTTCGCGACAATAGTCCAAGCCGAGCAATATATTTATGAACATATTTCCTTTGGGCATTGGATAACCCTGGAATGATCAACTCAACATCTGTACCGGCTATGAATTCTGATATGCGCTGTTGCAATTGTAACCGGTCGCCTTCAGGTAAATTTACTTCTTTGTGTAGGTTTTTTTCTCTATTGCGGGATCTGGTCGCCATCATTTGCTTTGCAATATTTTCATCTTCAGTCATTTTTACTAATTGAAACTATCTGAATTTTTCAACTTTTTAAAACCTTTATAAAACTTTATTCCAACGCTTTTTACATATATTTGCAAGATTTTCATCTCCTGCTTATAACTGTTCTTATATTTGTAAACTACCAACAGTGAAATTTCACCACGACTTTAGTTAAACTCTGTAACAATGTCCACACAGTGAACATTTGGATGCTCATGAAAAGTGTCAAACGGGAAAATTATTCTATCTGTTGAGTTGGGTATAAAAAAGTTACTGTTGGATAATGTGCGAATCTGGTCGCTATCATTTGCTTATTTGCAATATTTTCATCTTCAGTCATTTTTACTAATTGAAACTATCTGAATTTTTAACTTTTTAAAACTTTATAAAACTTTATTCCAATGCTTAGAACGTTCTGGCATCTACAAATTCGCGTCTAGTTGTTTCTGGCAATTTATCGTAATTTATAATAGTGTGTTTACATTGGGACTCTTTTGAAACCCGATCCGGTTTCATGTGGGCAAGGGGACGACAAGGAAAGACAAAGGGACCGCAAGTTTTCCGGTGGCACGCTTTGTGTTCATGTTCGTAACAGCTCGCTGCTACCCTTTTCAGCATTTCTTTTCACTTTTAAATTCTTCGAATGGTTGCAAGAGTGCTCGGTTTCAAATCAATATATATCATTTGTTCAGAAATTTGAATTCTGTTATCTATTTTTTGTATGTGATATGCAAATATGTATGCATAGAATAATAGAAATATTTTGAAAAATTAAGTTACTCAAAAATATTCAATACATATAGCGGTATTAAATGTAATAATACATCAGTATATATAACAGAATTCTAAAAAAAAAGGTAACTTTACTGTTTTATATTTACATAATATATTAAGATGCTGTCATATTACTTTCTTGTAACCACAAAGGATTTAGTTCGAACATCATTTTATTTAAAACAAGAATTGTAATTAATTTAAGGAACTTTTATAATATAATTTCTGTTATAAATTTGGCCTTGGTTATAAATTTGGCCTTGAAAATATTAGTAGGGGATATTCAATACATTCTGGTGGATTAGGGAATTCCCATCCTAAGTATTTCTTTGAAACTATTAAGCGTATATAATGCATATTATTCTACCACATTCATGATAATTCCTTGCAAGCAATATGTGGGACCACCATCCCAACATACAAAAGAAACATGCAACACATTCCAAGTGTCGCGTAGCCGAACCGCACAAATATATACGAAAATTTTATGAAAAGGAATGAAAAAAACTCGATTCAGTTTAATATTGTTATTGCCAAGGCAAAGTATTTTCGTAAATTTGTATTTATTATACAAAAAAATTTAATAATTTAATTAACAAGACAAAATTTCAAACCTCTCAATTTCATTTGCTGTGCATTTCAACTGTCAAAATATTACTTTCCATTTGACAAAACACAATGTAAAATTTGTTACACCATAGAAAATTGGTTCACCCCAACTCAAAACTGGGAAAAAAGTTATCGTTTGGCACATACCCTAACAGAAAAATATTTGCAGTTAAAAATTTCAGGGATTTCAAGTGTTTGGTGTTTTGAATTGAAAAGTCGATAATTAATCCTATTGGATTCGATAATTTATTCTCATATCTTATAACATGGTTTAGACAGTTTTTTGATTTTGTAGTAACTGCTTAAAAGGATAAAGCTACCCTCAAAATGAGCACTCAGCGTGGTAATGCAACAAGGACACGATCTCAGAAGCATAAAAATCGAATAGTTTTCAAAAACGACCTACACGATAAAACAAATCTCCAAAAGAAAATAAATTCTTTACACGTCTCCGAGGTTTGTCAACATTGCAAGGATGTCATAGAATGGAAAATTAAGTATAAAAAGTATAAACCTCTTACTCAACCGAAAAAGTGTAGTCGTTGTGAGCAGAAGAATATTACCAAGGCGTACCATGTGCTTTGTCGACACTGTGCTCTAGATGCACATGTATGCGCTAAATGTCTGAAGAGTGAAGAGCAAGTTGTTATAGAACCGCCACAACCAACAACGGAAGAAGAAGTCAAATTGAAAGTGGAAATGGATCGACTTATAAAATCTCTACCTGAACGAAAACGAAGAGCTTTCATTCGGTACATGGATAAGGGTAAAAAACAAGAAGATATGGAGAAGGTTGTTTCTGGTGAAGGAATTGAAAGTGACACACAGTTTACGAAAGAATTGGATGATACAATACATTTACCACATACTAGAGAAGAACTACTTCAAAAAATTGAGTTTCTCAAGTTGAATAATGAAGACGAGTATATAATTTCCAATGCGGATGCTGATACCGATGATGAAAGTCCTATATAGTTAAAATTTGTATTGCTCTATTGGATCCTGAATTAAAAATTTCACATATTTACACAGAGCCTCGGTCGATTTTAAATACAATTCCAGGATTTCTGGGATAAAATAGGTATGAGAGCATAGAAGATGTTCCCCGGATAAAGATATTTGCATTTAAAGCTGAAAATATCAACTATTTAATTTAATTTTACATATATATTTTTAATTTGTATATCCACTAACACTTTACTTATTCGTTTGTACACACAAGTATTTCACATTCCATAAGGTAACACTGACTATTTGTCAGTGTGCAACCGTTTTGTTATTGTGTGAATAAATAGAATTGAACAAAAAGTTAAATATTTAATTACAACTATTTTTGCACTATATATATGAAATAAATGTGTACAAACGAATTAGTGAATTGATAGTGGATATAAAAAGGAAAAATATAAATTTAAAATTCATTTTAAATCTAAAATATACGCACAATAAATAGTTTTCAACTTTAAACGCAAATATATCGATCTGAAGAACATCATTTATCCGCTCAAACCTATGTTCTGTCCGAAATCCTAGGATGATTTTCTACAGTTTTCCCCGGAGCCTAAATATGTATATTGAAAAAATATTTATTATTATTGTGCATTACGCTATAAGATAATTAATAATAAATATTATAAATTTTTAGTGAGCACCATTTAAAAGATAAATTTTTAATGATAGGTAAATTCTCATACGCATACGTGAAAAATCTTACCTCTGTTGAACTGCATACATGTATTTTTTAGCAGCTAAAATAATATGAAATAAAAGGAATAGCGTGGAAACTAACACATACGCAACTTGCAATTCATAAGCTCTATGCGTAGGAAAGAGCTTCGGTCAGAGACATTAAATTTGACACCGAAAATGGTAGGAATTACGTTTATAGAAGCTTAATCTAAAACTCACCAATCCAAACAGGGTTAGATCGCCGAAATAACAGTTCTTGGTCGAAAAAAATCTGGGCCGATAACGTAGAGCCGGCTGTCTTGGGTATTGCCAATAGACCTAGCATAGAAAGTCAGGATATAACTATCCGGTCGGACGATGTCGAGCTCGAGATTTTTAATATATACATCCCCCTTATTAAGTGTTGACTAACAGGATATCTCCCGAACATAGATGCGCTACTACGTGGTGAAAAGCGTTTGGTGCTTGGCGATTTTAACGCGCACCACGATCTTTGGCACTCCTGCTGATCAAACGATCGTAGGGAGCGGATGAAACAGATAGACGATACGATATTCTGCACAATGAATGACGAAGCCCCCACCAGAATTATGCATACCTGAAATATCTCGCCAGATATTACCATTCCTAGCATTGGTATGATAAATAGCTTTGCTAACCCTCGCTCGGACCATCTGCCCATATTTATCTCGATCGAGAAACCTCCTGTATTAGTCAACGAACGCGGCACCTTACGCCGGATAAGGGATCTCAATTTGGAGATTCGGCACATGGGAAACCATCATAAGCGGACAAAGTGTGTAGAGCATTTAAGGCCTTGCAACCTCTGCACCGGTGTGAGTAAGCATTCGAATACTAATGTAAAATTAGAGAAAACATGACGACCGGGTTGAATTTCAATTCTATGACCATGCCTCCTAGGACCCGAAGAAGTGCGCGAACTATTTAAGCTGGCAGTTCACACTGCACATTCACTCACCACTTGAGCCTAGCAGACCACCAGCATGGCTTCCGAAAAGTGCACATCACTTGGAGTTCCGCAAGATCTCTCTCCTCTTCCCGTTACTCTTTAATTTCTACATATCAAAACTCCAGTATTGGCGTCGGGCAATGGAATTGATGGCATGTGATCAAAAGTAAACAGCTATCTCTCCGACCATTCTCACATCTTCTCTGCAAGGACCTTAACACTCTCCCCACAAAAACCACAACGGCCATATTCTTTAACTGGACGAAGGATTTTAGTTGTAAAGTTTGACAGCCTGTGCTCCTTCGCTCCTCATACTACCGCGATAACTGCCAAAGTACATAGCCGCAACAAAGACCTCAAATCGCTTGCCGGCAGCTCATAGGGAAAATACAAATAAACGTTGCTGGCAAATTACAAGGCAATCGGGTGGCCGGTTCTAAACTACGCCTCACCTACACTAATGGACAAAATAAGAGGTGTACACAGTTTTTATTTAATAACTTTGAAGTATTTGCAATTAAAACAATTTTGTTTTAGAGATATTTACGCTTTACTTTATTAAACCTATGTGTCGAAAATCTTTCATTCCGAATTTTAAAACTGAGTTTTTTTTTTAAATAAGAAATATTGGTCAAAATAATAGGTGTAAAATATTTTTTTCTAAATAAAATCAAAAAATTCAAGTTACTTTTTTTCGGTCCATGAGTCCATATATATCCTCTGTGGTTTTTCATTAGTTTTCCAATTCTATTCGGTATGGAATGAATTAATTTTTGGCAGGTTTATAATGGGGTGGTACCCCAAAGTTCGTTTGCTTTCCGCCGCAATTGCTCTTTATTTTGGAAAGATAAAGCTGCCAATCTCCTCTTAAGGTCACTCTACAAGTTCTCAATCAGGTTGAGATGAGGGCATTGACTAGGCCATTGCATACAGGTAATATTTGCATCCCTGAACCACTCAGATACCAACCTCGATGTATGTTTCGGGTAGTTATCTTATTGATAACTCCATCTCAGCGGCATGTTTTCTTCAGCAACACGCAGTTCTTTTATAATCATTTACAAAATAAGTAATCTTAACTTCGTGATTGAGTAAAATATTTCGCCTTTTTTTTTACCCAGTGGGACCGGTTAATGTGTGAGTTATCTTAATGTAATAAATTAAGAAACTATATCTTTCTAATAATAGTGTATCTTTGTGCCTAATATGGATCAAATCGGGTAAATACATCCCCTAGCCTCCACATATCTAATAAAGGAATTTTCAAACATCTGGTAATAGTATGTCATGATGCCATAAATTGATAAAATAGGGTCAGCACTAACCTACCTCATATTAGAATTTCAGCTTTCGGTTGTATCTATATCGTATATATCAGCGAAATTAAGTGAACATACTATAGCAAATTATGTATGTATTATATAGTTTTTATAGCATACTTTAAGCTTTTGTAAGTTATTTTCGCAAAATTACGTGGAAATATGTTTTCGAGTATATAGTAAACATTAATGCAATCAGTTTAATCCCTAGCCCTAATATACCCGATAGTTTGATTTCCGACTTTCCACTTCACATTAAACCGTCTATGTAAGTGTACGCGTTTTCATAAACATAATGTGGTGTAGCACTAAATAATATAGTGATTCTCATCCTCTGGTTGATGCTTTTCTCATATATTTTTTCTCTCTTTGGTTGAATTTATATCATAAATATGTATATGATTTAAGTTGATTTTAATATACATATGTATGAATTTCGAACACGAAGCAAAATGCAGCAACGAAACTATGTGAGTATATCACCCACAGCATAAATTAATAATATATGGTACATACATACCAAACATGATTGTAATCCTTATTGACAATTCACATAGTAATTTTGCTTCGCTTTGTTTCAGGCAATTGATTAGATAGTAAAGTTCGGTGTATGCTTTTGGGTGAGTACGTAATTGTATGAAGCCAAACTCAATGTTGAATAACTCTCATCTCTTTACGCTTTGCCAAGCAACGGTCGCCATTTATATTAGGAAGACAAAGCGTTCATTGTGGCATGTCCTTTGTTTTCTGCGCTTCGTTGTTTCAGTATGAACTGTCACGCAAAGAAAGGAAAGTTGTATGTGAATGGACCTTCACACACTTCCATCGGATAATGAATTTGGAATTCTTTTCCAACATTTTTCAATATAAATCTTTGCCAATACCTAACAATATTTCATCGTCTTTGAGCTACATAAATTGCGAGTGAATAAAATGTTCGGTAACACCCAAACTTAGCCCTTCCTTACTTGTTTTTTGATAATTTTACTTTCGCCTATACAGGTTGGTTGAAAAGTTTCTACTCTTGAAATGAAAAAATACTGTTTTTGGTACGAAATATATTTTTTTTATTTAATATAATATCCATTAACTTTGATATACTTGTTACAATGATTCTCAAATAATATCCCTATAATGACTTTCCGGAAGCTCTGCAAAATACCCGTCTACGGCTGTAAAAGCTTCTTCATTCGACGAAAAACGCTTTCCACGAAGGAACTTTTTCAGGTTTCTAAACAGATAGTAGTCGCTGGGAGCCAAATCAGGTGAATACGGTGCATTCTCAAGCAATTCGTACTTTAATTCGTTGAAAAATAATTTTTTTGTGCTGCAAACCAGGTCTTTTCTCACGAATTTTTTCATCTGATCCAAAAGGCTGAAATAAAATTCAGAGTTTTGTTTCACCTTTTTGCAGATAATGAATCAACTTTTGCATCCCAAAATAACTGATGTCATTGCTGATCGTTGTGACTTCACCTGCTTTGGAGCTGAACAACCAGCTTCAGTCCACTGTAAATGTTCTTGTTTCAATTTAGGATCATGGTGGTAGATTCAAGTTCTGCTCAAAACGCTCCAAATTATTCTGAGATATTTGTTTTCGATCCAGTTTTTGTTGAATTGTTAACGGGTGCTGCACTAACTTTCCAAACAGCTTTTTCATATGAAATTCTTCATGTAAAATATGAAGTACTCATCCGTCTGAGGTGCCTATGGCATTAGCAATTTCGCGCTTAGTCAAACTTGGATCTTCACTAACAATCTTATAAACTTACTCAATGATTTCTGGTGTGGTTGCGGTTTTTTATCGTCCATGGCGTGGATCGTCTTCAAGCCTAGTACGAATACGTTTAAATTCACCAGCCCAAAATTCAACGGTGCGTTTTGAAGGTGAGGACTCCTTATACACTTCTAACAATTTTTCCATATTAAAAACTTGTAACTTTGCATGTGTTCTCACGACAGATGTACCAACTTGGGAAAAAACATTTAGAGCTAGTAGTGCTAATTCTTGGTCAGCACTACTCACTTTTCAACCAACCTATTCTTCAGACATTTATATATATAACTAGCTTTACTCGCGGTTTCGCTCGCATTTAATCCCTTCAATAAATATCCAAGAGCATTAACAAAAACAAGTAACTAAATACATAGTACCATATGTATGGAATATGACTATACCGCACTGATCATCTTCTTGGTGCTGGAACCCGGGAAACCCCAAATTAGTCTGATTTATAGAAATATAATAAAGATGCATCGATGCATTTTTTGTTTTGATTGATTTTCAAATTTTTCGACAAACAGTAAAAAACATGTATGCATGCGTATGAATGTTTTTTTTAATTTTCAAATTTATTTTACAATTATATTTGCCAAAATAAATTTTTTCATAATCCGCATATTTTGTTAAAATAAATAAGTGTCTTTTCTAAAACCATTAAGAATAAGTGTACAAAGTTTTTGTTGCAGCGGCAGAATTTTGTCGAGTTGACAGTCCTTGGCCGGAAAAATCCCAGGTCCGTTCCGGTTACGTAGACCCGACTGTTATGGAAACGGTGTACAAAGTTTCATGATGATCGGTTAAGTGGTTTCGACGTGAAAGCGTAATAAAAAAGCTTATATTCAATTTTATTATTTTGTTAGGGAAGAGATCAGGAAAAATTTAAAACTACAATTTGGTATAACTAAAAAATAAAAAAAAAATATCAAAATTTCGATAAATGGGATTATTCCTCTCAACAGTAATACATATGATATGATGTAAAAGATGATCAAAAAAATATGAACACCTAAAATTCTCAGATTATTATGTATATTAGTATTTGTAGTAGTATTAACATTGGCTGATGATAATCGTATATCTCAGGATCTATTCGACCAATGCAACTAAATTTGGCGCATAACATTATTCTGCAATTCTTATACTACAGTATAAAAATGGGCGAAACCGGACTGCAAAGATATTCTATCTACCTCTAACGGAGATTTAGAGAACAATTTCCTGAAAAAAATGTGCCCTTGTGTTAAAAGTGAGTAAAATCGATTCAAGACTTTCGCATAAAGGATATGAATTCTTAAGTGTTTCCCCGAGAAAATACGAGAACATAAAATGGTAGCTTACACCCGAACTAAGCTTTTCCTTACTTGTTTGTTTTCCATAAAATTCGCAACTTGGCGATCGGTTTTAACTAGAAAAAGTACTAAGAACCACTAGCGCGGGTGTTGACTATAATTTTGAAGTAAAGTATTGCATTTATAAATGCACATACTTGTATAATCCAAAGAGTTCAAAAATGAAACAATATGTTGTAACAATAAATGCAAAAATATAAGTATGCAATAAAATAGATGCATCGGTATGGAGTATTATATACTTTATTCTATTATATTAGATATACCATATAAGTATATAACAGGCTATACAAGTGTATACTTTCATTAACTTTATTCTCTTTCTATTTGTAGGGCGCCTCTTCATTTTTATTATAGAAAACTTTTTCTATTGGTTTAGGTGTTGTCTGATCCGAAATTTGAACTTACAACTTACAGAGTAATAAGCACACGCTGAGATACAATGATCGCTGTATGATTTATATAAACAAACAATAAGAGAGTCTTTGGTAAAAGCTAAAGTCTTCGTTTGTTGTGTTTGCCCATCTTTAGGTGCCGCCTTCCACATAAACATCAGCTAAAATAAGAAGTAACCGTCGTTCATGTCTCTTTCTTCACAATGGAGAGGTACAAAGCTCTATGCTTAATCGTCAGTCGACTATTGGAAGGTGCACACGCCACCTGTTGCTTTGTGAAAGTTTTAACCACATCTCGATATGTTAAATCGTTATATGTAAGATTTCGTCTCAATATAACAAACCTCAAACTTAAACGTTAATTTTGCAAGTCGGTGAATGCTGAAAACTGATGACTTGATTTCAAATAACTGCAAATAAGGTTTTTATGATTGTTGTCGTTTGGTTCTACATGGTGATTTTAGACTTCATCAAATATTTTTGAAGCTTTTCAGTTGCGATTTTTGATCAAAATACCTGCTGTACATATTAAATTTGTTATATTCGAGTTTAATAACCTGAGTAATTTTTCAAGTAAGAGGTGTGGTTCGTGCTTAATTACAAAGTTTTCACATCAGTTCGATTGCAAGTGTCGCAGTTCGCGAACATCTACTCATTTTTTCGTATTAGTTTATTTAATACCGGTAAATTGAGTGCATCGTGAGACAAGTCCAACTAACGGTTTCTGAAATGTTTTGAAATTTAAAATTGAGGGTTTCATTTGACAAGCAAACAGTATCCATTTTCATCCCTAACCTTTTTTGATTATTGAATTTGTGAAAGTGTTTTTTCTGCAATTCGTTATTGTTGGTTGTTGTTTCTGTGTTACGCATACTTGCATATGTAGTTGCAATACATATGTATGTGTGATAAAACACGAGTGATGCGCTTGGTCGCTCATGTTTATACATCGAAGTTAAAGTGCCAACTGTTAATGTTTAGCTATACATATGTCTCTTTAGTGGCTAGCATAAAAAAATTGTATTCATATATGTATATATATTTTTTTAGCAAATTTTATACAAAGTTTATGGAATTTTTAAAATATAATATTCATCGATATATCTATGTATGCCTGTGTACATCAAAATTTTTTTCCACCAAATATAAAATGATTTATAAATTCATAAACTACAATATAAATACAATGCAAATAAAGTTGGGAAAATTTAATGCCCTACAATTGTTTAATTCATGTATATGTTCAATTAAGATGTTTGGAACATGGATAACTGGTAGAGTTCGATGCGAACGTTTCGTATCATAAATAGTCTTGAAAAATACTTTTTGAATCAACAATACTACAAATGGTAATCATGCCTTCAGCACTGCTATTAGATCGAAAATTTGTTCGTTATATATCAATTTATTACATCGTTTCATTTAAAAAACGAAGAGGTAGTTTGTGCTTATAACAAAAAATAATAATTCTGCACCACTACGCTTATTCGATTAGTAAGGGTAGGAATCTTTATTTTGGTACCTGTATCTAATTATTTAAGGTTTTGTGGCAAAATTAAATCAAAAATTATGTGCAACACATTATTTCTCTAACCTCTCTTAGTCTCAACAGTGGATCATCTAAATTTCAGATTTGTTTTTGCGTTTCATTTATATACCACATTATTTTCATTAACATTATTCACTCTTCACATCATTTCAATGTTATTCACTTTTCATATCATTTCAATAGTTCCAATGAATGCTTGAGAAATTGTTATATAAAAAAATTTATTGAATCTTTCATTTTGGTCTATATATGAAAAATAGCACTTTTACTTTTACTTTTGTAGTTTTCAAACAAATCATAGAGTTTTTGTATTACAATCTATTTCATAATCGAATTGGTATCATTCAAAACAAAAGATAAATAACCGTAATTTCAGTACTTCTTTGTGAATACCTATAAGGATATTTTGTGAATCAATTGACTATTTGCACTATATCATATTATATATAATTTATTTAAGTAAAACATAATGTTAATAACTTACGCACTTAGACGAAAACTTTTCCTTTCTTACAAGTATACCCTTAGCAAATGAAGTATTTTTCTGGAAAGTAAAGTCCTCAACATAAACAAAATTTATTTATCTCCTTCTTTTGATATTATTTTAGGAATACTAACTAGAATGTGATTAATTTTTTTCATATATAATTAATATTTTCATATTATATTCTTAAAATAGGCATATAATTTGAGTTATAGGCTACCATAGTTCGCGAGTTTAACTAAAAGTAATTTTATCTCTTAACTTGTTCCCCTCTATATCCATCATACCCTCAACATATAGCACTTTCCCAATTATTTGACATGAAATATACACTATTAGCTTCTTCAACGGCATTCCACAACTCTTTGATTCTCTTTTAAGAACATTGAAAGCCGGAAAATATAAGTGGATGTTACAATAAATTCACATTATAGTAGGCCTCAGAATATGCCGGCATTTATGAATGCAAAACGTTATCCAACACAATCCCAAGATAAATCGTGCAATCGAGTTTATTCAGTTACAAGATAAGTGAGTATATATTTTAGAGTCTGTTAAATGTTAATATTAGTAAATAAAACAATGGTGATAACCCCAGAAGTACTTTTTGAGGCAGATCATCAAAATTTTCTTCATGGTCTCCAATTATATACGTAAGCTAATCAGAGAAATACAATCGCGCTAATAAATTACTTACGAGGATATAGTTGAACCACTGATCAAGATAAATGTCATCATACAATAACTGATATATTAAATACTTTAACGATTAGATAATTTTAATTTACAAATAGTCGTCTAATGGAATAAATCACATGACTTAGGTGAGCAAATATTATTAGTCAATTTATAGTGCCCAAAGTTTATGTATTATTTTGAATTGCAGAAGAAAGTCGAGGGACATATCTACTATAAGACAATTTAGTTCTTAAAAACTTATTTAGCAGGTCTGATAAAAAAACATTACATTTTATAAATACGAGATTGCATAAACTTGTTAAAATTTATAACTATCTATTATTTAATCTAACTAAATTTTTTTCTGATGATAAAATGTACATATACATATATAAAACTAAGTCAAAGTCTGCAGAATAAAACTTTAAGTTGATACAAAAAGCATTTAATAGGTAGACGGGTTTTGGTTCCTAGGGTCTTAAAATATGATAGAAAATAGAAAATTACAGAACCGATAAAGTGATAAAGGGAAATGTGCGGGTATATGAGTGTTGGTTGGTACTTAAAAAGCATATCTACCTACATATGTTCATTGGATTGCAAATGTGCTTATTCTTTACAAAACCTGAACGAAATCTGATAAAATAGGTGACATTCGCTAACAAGAGAACAGATCTCAAAGTGGACAAGTTTTTACGATATATATATTTATACAAATAATAATAAGTCTAAGCAAACAATTATGATAACTACATATAATAAATATTCGCAATACACAAATACAAATATTTCTAGCATTATTAAAAGCCTACTATAAGCGGCATCATAGGTAACATCGCCAGCTTCTCTGTTCAACACCACAGCAACATGCATTCGCATAAATTAAACACATGTGACTCAACGGGCAGCATTTCATCAGTAGAAAGACCCAACGCGGGTGCATTGGCACTGCACTATGCCGCAGCACGCGGCTGTTTAGACTGTGTACAATTGCTTGTTGGAGCATCAACAGATATTTGGTAAGTTCCTTCTAATTTTTTTATGCACTTTTTTTTTATATATATACATGAGCATATGTATATATTGCACTTAGTATGGAATATCTGACATCAATATTCAGAGTATCGCCACAATTATAACAAATATAACTAAATACACTATCAATTACGGTGAAAGTTATTAGTTCAGCATGAAATTATTTATAATTTACCGCACAATGGGGGTTAGTGACAATACAGATTAACAAAGTAGACATTTATGTATGTATATATATTTCAATAGGAATAATATTAAAATCGTGATTGAAATAAGTAAATATTTAATTAAAATATAATTACTTCAAAATAAAAATATTAAGTTAGTTTGAAGAAAAAACGAACCAGTCAACAATAATAATCCATGCATAATAATTTTATTTACTGTGCATTTGTAAGAGGCAAATATGAGATAATGAGTGACTTCAGATTGTTGATATAGTACAAACATGTTAAAACATTATACAATATTAAAAAAAGAGCTGTATACGAACATAACGAATTTATCTAAATTCAACAAATTGTTGTTTATGTCATACTCTAACTTAAGTATCGAACGGTGCTTATGATTTTTTTCATTCTTCGTAAATTCGTTTCGAGGGGTTCAAAGGTCAATAAGAAGTATATTTATGCAGTTTGAGGCATCTACGGGAGATGATTTGTCATAAATGACCGCATTAATAGGCAGACAACTTATGGATCTTTCCCCCCGATATGAATAACGGTGTACGTGCAATGAACTGATTTAGGTCATGGTAGTGATCTACTGCCATGCAATTATTTTTGGTAAAAGTGTCATGTCAATATACATACATATGTTTGCATATTAACTTATGTATAAAATAAACTTTTGATTTATATTCATACTCATTGGTTAGTAACTAGTGGAACTACTGAATTGAAACAACAACTACCGATGGAATGTAGGTAAATTAGACTATCTCAGAGAACAACGTTTCTTTATTACACTTTACATACTCAGTTATAATAGCACATGTACGTACATATGAATAAAGAAAGCTTGATTGAAATATAAGCAACGGAGATTGTTACCCAACTCGCGCGATGTATTCATATATGAGTTGTTCGTATCTCTGTCTTTACGTATCTCGGCGTTTGACTGCAATTGACTGTATCAAATGTGTTGTATTTGAGTGCCATCGAGTCGGCTGCAATGCTGTGGAAAGGTGCACAGCGCTCTGACCGGCGTTGTGCTGCTTTTGGTGCACCGACGAGCAACGGGTTTCTTGAATGCTTAGCTGAGTAGTGACTTACATTTCTGTATTCGTATTTGGTATCTTGAAGTAAGCGGTAGTTCGTTTGGACTCAGTGGTCACGGTTTATGTTTGGTTAAAGAAGATAGAAAGGCATTCGGCCGTGGCCAGTTTTCGCGTGTAACAGAAACATTTTTATTTCTACTGATTGCTTACATTATCAACTGTAGGCTGCACGTTGTAAACATATTTTGTTCGCTATTCGGTATATGCACGTACTTTTAAGCATATTAATACCTTTTTAAAAAACGTTTGTAAATGCGGTTAGTAGATCCGAAGTTATTATATTGATATTGTGTGAAGGTGAAGCGGTTGAATTTGCCTGACGTTCTTTTTGTTTGCTATGATTTCCTTCTTCTAAAATTAACAGGTTCTTAGCAATTAAAATGCTGGAGCCTGGAATTACTATTATTTAAAGATCATCGAACCGAAACATACTCTAAGTGCATATTAATGCTGAAAATATAATAAATAGTAAATACTACTTCCACGAATAAGTGTACAAATATTAAAATGAAAAGGTACAAAAACGTATATCACATGTTACCTTTTGCAATTTCAGTTCCCCTAAGACACATATACATTATATTGATTTAAGTATGTAAATAAATGTTAGACTTTTAATATATGTATGAACGCAATTACATGTACAGACACATTTGTAAATATATTTGTAACATTAGTCAATTTGTGAAAATATGACTGAGAATTAATTTGGATCGCGTTACCTAGGTCTTTTTAAACTTTTTGTAAATTACCGTCAATAAGTCCCCAATTGAACAATCAAAATTAGTAATAATATGGAAAACTTGTTAACTGCTTCAAAACTGCAACTTTTCTGTTAAATAGTATGAAAGCAGATATGTTAATATAACTAACATATGTATGAAATATCAGCGCAAGCTATTTGTTTTTGTTTCAAGTCTATGTTGGAACATATGTACTAGTATAAGTGCATACGTGCGTACATATGTTACGTACAAATGTACGATCAAGCTGCTACAAGAATGAAATCTGCAGTAAAAACATATCAAAAATTACACAAAGAGTATCATTTAGGAAAATGAGAGCAGTACATACACGTCTGTTCAAGTGTACGTAAGAAGCATCTACGAGTATAAGCGAACTTGCATTTTAAAACTGAGCCGAAGCAATGAATCACCTGCTTGTAAAACCGGGCCGAGCTGTTTTACTTGATGCGCTGGTGCTTTGGTACCATTCACTGCGAAAAATTCGAGCAGTAATGTTGCGCCTTCTATATTTTAACTACGTTAACTGCTATGCGGTGATATAGTTAGTAAAATGTTCATTTGCAAGAACTCTATTCTTGTACTATTAACTACGAAAATTTAATAATTTTAATTACTGTGCTTAAAAGTTAATGCCGCTCAAACTGTGTCTACGAAATGTTAACCGAAATATATACACATGTACTATGTAGTGCGAAAGTTCAATGTTCATTGATTTTTCCCTTGCATATATTGAATATTTATGTATGTATGTATGCGCAATCATAATTGTGTGTTATTGTGAAAGTTGCCAAAGAAAAGCAATAGAAAGTGAAAACGGTAGATACTCTCTTAGTCTAATTACATAGGATTATTAACTGATGTAATATTTTGAATTGTTGAGAGTTAATATCTAATATCTTCATCATTAGTTATAAAAAGCTTCAAAACATTTTATGAAAAATAAAGAGCGTATATACATATCTCATTTTGCTTCAAGGTTTTTTTTATACTTGAATCAATATCTTCTCAGTTTTTTGTATTTATAATATACCTTGAATTTAAGGATTCCAAAGCCTTATAATTAAACAAAATGCACGTTTTAATCGAATGTCTCTTTTTTAACAATTCATTTGCTATATTATGACAACAACACAGTTACTTCTCTACAATCAGTGGTAGAAAAGGTTTTTTCGGTAGGATGACCACTAGTTTCACTTCCTATCGTCGTAGCAAAGTAAAAAGTAAATCGAATAACGACATTTCTTCTATTGTTGCTGAGATGAATGGTGTTAGTGGTATAGCAGATAGCTTACCTCAGCACATATCTAACGATGATATCTCAAATTTTGCTGAAATGATGGACACAACTGTGCGAAAAGAGATCAATCTCTCCAATGAAGATGTAGCTGTTGTACGCAAAGAACATAATAATCGACGCAGCGTTGTAAGGTAAGCCACATTTCGCCATAACATTTGAGTATTTAAAATCTGTTGCTAAAACGAATAATTCCATGACTCCGAGAACTATGCATATTGATATTCACCCTTCAATCCATAAATAAGTTGCTGTCTTAAGTCTTTTGTACTGTTGGAAAATCACTTTGTTTAGTCTCTCTGTTATTTGGGTATGTGCCTTTGTTTAGTATATATATTTTTATTTAAATTAAAATCTTTGTCATTTTAAACGCAGTCTCTAAAATTATGTCATTTGAATACATGAGACCAGAAAAAAAATTAAGTAATAAACGAGTTAATTCCAGCGGATTTTAAGTGTTCAATCGATATCTTTTCTCAAATAACACAAAATCTATTTATCAGTTTTTGAAATATTTTATTCGAGTGGGTTAAAATAAGTACAGTTATGCCCATCCTTGGTACCTAAATACCACGCAGCTTAGATGGTAGAGATGTCTGTATTCATTGTATTTTAAACAAATTCGCGATTTACTTATACACTGATTTGTGCCATATACAAAAGGCTCAGCTAGTCTCAGTCTCTCATTCTGCAGTAGGTGTGATGTTATTCTGATTAACATTTATGACCGACCTCATTAGGCGGATCGCTTTTTTAATTATGTTAATTAATTATGTTATTAATAAGGTTAATTATGTTGAATTAATATGGGATAGTTGATAAGAACAAAGGAGAAATTATAAAACCTTTTATAGCAATTTTGCAAATACATACATAAAGTAGTACTTTGAGAATTTTTTAAATACATGATTTACTTCAATTATTGTGGACAGGATAAGACGCACATACAAATATCACTTCATCACCTAATTTGTTTATTGTGAGCACTACCATTTAATCATAGATAACTTTAATGACTCATGATATAGGGTTATATAAATTTTCAGGATGATGAGACGATTTAAAATTCGAGTGACCGTCTGACAGTACAAACTATAACTTGAGTAAAAATTAAGATATCTTTATTATGGTAGATGGTGGTAATCGGATCACTGCCACGCCCACAAATGTATCTGTATCCCAAACCATTCAAGCTATATCATTCAAATTTGCACAGGACAATTATCTTTGACACTCTTACGACAGTGTGAAAACACATAGGTGAAATCGGATAAAAACCCCACCCACTCCCTATGTAACGGTTTTGTTAAAAACTACTAAAAGTGCCATAAATGAATAACTAAATGTGTCAGAGATATGAAATTTTACACCTGAAAAGGCGCAAGAGAACTTAATAGAAGCCAGTGTTTAGATGAAAATCCCTAACTTAGGACCTACTCGATCGACTTCGCCCAATTCGGTAGGTCTACATTACAGTGCGAAATCAGACAAAATGCATGCCTACTTCTTATATAGCATAATTAAAATTCCAGTATACAAATCAATAAGCAATCAATTTATCCGGATGAAACTTTGCACCAATAGTGCCTTTGTGGTGTGCCACCTTATGACTAAAAATTTTCAAAATCGCACCAAAACTATTCAAGCTCCTAGATACCGAAAATAAGGAAATTGAGAGAAGGTGTTTTTCTAATAAGAGTGTATCTCTGTGCGTAAAATGGATAAAATTGGGTAAAAACTTGCCTCCTAATCAGGATTTTAAAACATCCGGCTGACTTTACTCTATATATATTGGCGATGGTAAGTCAAGAACCTTAATTAAACTCAGAAAGCATCTTCTTTTGTTAACAATAGGTGGTATTGGCAAAATTAGATAAATTCAGATCAATACTACCCTTATCTCAAAATACCATATCTAATGAAATATTTTCAAACTTTCCGTTGACTTTATACCGTATATATCAGCGTATAATATTGGATACATTATAGTTTAATGCCAAAAAAATGTAAATTTAGTATACGCATTACTCCAACTTTCATAAACTATATACGAGTATAATGACTCTATTATATTTTATTTTAACAAACCAATTTTCCACCTGTCTTTAAACTGTTTAAGTTAGTCAAAATTTGTGTTATTTTAATGAAATTAAGTGCACAAGCATTCTTACAAGTATAAACTATGTAGCTTAGCGCTTGTTATGAAATATGAATGACCTTGGTCCAAACCTCATATTCTTAATACATATAATGAACTCCGACTCTTTTCTTGATGTTTTTGAACTCAATATATTAAATTTAGCCCCTTCGGTTGAGTTTATATCTCATATATCTCATTTGAGGATGATTTCAGTATAATTTTAGCTGACGGAGTAGTATAGTATTAAAACTAAGTGAGTACATGGCTTTCAAAATAAGTTAATAAGACGCATAATTTTATTGTAATCCATTCACGATTTCATTGAACAATGCATGGAACTATTTCACTACATTTTTATACTCTTGCAACATGTTGCTACAGAGTATAATAGTTTTGTTCACCTAACGGTTGTGAATATCACCCAAAACCAATCGAGATAGACATAAGGTTATGTATATATAAATGATTAATCTTTGGATGTCTGTCTCTCTTTCTGTCCGTCCGTCCGTCCGTGCAAGCTGTTACTTGAGTAAAAATTAAGATATCTTGCTGAAACTTGGTACACACGCTCCTTGGCACCATCTGACCACTGCCACCCCCACAAAAGGCCATTAATGGAAAACTTATAAAACGCCATAACTAAGCACTAAATTAAGATATATGTATATCTGTAATTTAGTACAGAAGATTGTATTGGAGAGAGGCATCTATGTTATGGTTGAAAATTTTTTCAAAACTAAGTGTGGCTCCGCTTTTGACATTTTCTTCTACCGTGTGAAAATGGATGAAATCGGAAGATAACCCCCCATTCCCTATATAACGGTTTTGTTAAAACCTACTAAAAGCGCGATAAATAATAAACTAAATGCGTCAGACATATTAAATTTTATATCCGGGATGGCACAAGGCGGTTTTAAGGGAACCGTTGTCAAAATGGACGACGGGCGTGCCACCACCCACATTTAGGCGAAATCATATGAGTTTATATCCCATATATCTCTTTTGAAGATGATTTTAATACAATTTTAGCGGACGCGAAGTAAAATATAGTAATAAAATTAGTTGAGCATTATAGGTCGTAAATATAACTTAATAAAATACAAATTTTATTATAATGGAAGTTGCCAAAGGTTAAAATGTACGGTTCCATTCGAACTTTGCTCTTCCTTACTTGTTGAATATAAAGTTTTGCCAACACCTTAAGATATTTAGTCGGCTTTGATCCTTACAAGTTGTAAGCGTATACAATTTTCGGTTAAACACAAAATTAGCATTTTCGTAGTTATTTATTTATGTTTTTAACAAAAAAAAAAAAAAAAAAACTAAAAAATCCAAATACGCATTTCTTTAAAATATCTAAAAAGAAAAGGAACGTTAATTTTTGAAGGATTGTAGTTTATTTAGTCTTTAAACCCTCTGGAAAATACGATTTCTGGAGATATAGGGAGATGGCATTCCTGTTGGCGATAACCTCCTCATTCGAGCACTTTGTCTCCTCTAAATATGGCCATTTTTTGCATTTCGATTTAGATAACACCTCGTAAAAGACAGGTTCGCTGGATGAAGTCCGGTATTTCGACAGTTCTCGGATTGTATTGCATACACATTACGCTTGATCGACGCGGTCTTTTGAGATAGTTACTTCTGTCGCATTATACTTATAATGGGAACAATCGACTGAAGTGACAGAATTATTATATTATAATTGTATTATAATATATATAATTAAACCATAATATATAATATATAATTGTGAGGGCTAAGGGATGGTATCCATGTTTGATGAAATAACTAATTGAATAAATTGTAAATAACCAAACTTTTGGATCGGTACCTTTGATTTTTCTTGAATTATACTATATAACAGGATACCAAATTTGATTAAATTTGTGAAGTCTTTTATAATAAATGTCTGGTGAAAGTTGGTGGCACTGCTATAGTTCAATTTTTGGCCAGATCCATGTATAGACTTTACATGCTCTGTGATTGTTTTTTGTGTGTTTTTTTTTTTGTAATTCAGTCGCTTTCAGAGATATAGCACTGTATTTTATGTTTGAATATGCGATATCGATCATTTGGAATAGAACCCTCATTTGAGTGCTAAATTCTAAATTCTCCACGGTTTTTATCAAGGATTGATAGATAGACTGATGTACAGACAGGTATTGCGCCGCGGCACTGTGCCTATTTGGATTAATATTACCATATATCTCTCTCGATTATTTAAAAGTGGTAAACAAAGAAGTGCGAATGTATAATATTCTCAACATACATATGTATGTTGAAAAGCAAAACGTTTTAAAGTTTTGTATATAAAAATGGAACTGCAAAAAAGGGGTTATCACTTTACGTTTACATGCGAACTATAATACATTTAAAATTAAAATATATGAGTACACACACTTTTGTTATTTATTTATAATTGCATAATTTTTTCACTTTACCCTATACAGCGCGAATACTCAAATGGACAACGATGTCACACCGGTCTACTTGGCAGCGCAAGAAGGGCACTTGGAGGTGCTAAAATTTTTAGTGCTTGAAGCTGGTGGTTCTCTCTATGTACGCGCACGCGACGGTATGGCACCGATACATGCTGCTTCTCAAATGGGATGTTTGGATTGCCTCAGATGGATGGTAAATGTATTCAATACAATAGTCTATTATATTTACTTACAGTGCCCATAAATGAACGATCAAGGTATCCATGTCAACTATATGTTTTTCTATAATTAAAAAATGCAATAATTTACATACATGTATAGAGATAGTATTGTATTTTTTATTTTGTGGCCGAAATACTAAATCTTCACTTAACTTTGCATATACACGTACAAAGGTGCAAGATCAGGGTGTTGATCCAAATCTACGAGATGGAGACGGTGCTACACCACTACATTTTGCCGCGTCAAGAGGACACCTTTCCGTAGTACGATGGTTGCTTAAACATGGGGCAAAACTATCGTTAGATAAGTATGGCAAGTCACCCATTAACGATGCAGCAGAAAACCAACAAGTAGAGGTGAGATCTTCTTCTTTATGTAGAAATTTAATTATTTTTGGTAAGTAAGGACTTTTAATATCATTACTCTTCTTTTAGACATGTTTCTTTATTTGTGTTTATTTTCTTTGTATCTCTGTTCGTTAATTCAAGTGTCTTAATGTGTTAGTGCAACACGGTAGTACAATAGACTATGGTTGTCGGGACAGGAATCCACAACAACGACAGAAAACTTGTTCCTTATCTAATAAGGAATTTCAAGAGATGAAAAATTGCAGTTTCAATGGTAGTGATGGAGGCAACTGTATCAATAATAGCTCACACGGAAGCTTTAACTCGAACAGTAGTAAACAGACTAGTTGCAGTAACACCATTAAATCGAAGACATCTTCGACTTTAAGCTCAGATATTGAGCCCTTTTATTTGCATCCACCATCGACTTCTATGACCCATAAACGCATAGAGGCCATTTATGCACACTCTCAACAATCGCGCTCATCTTCTGAAAAATTATACAATGGGCAAATGGTGCCGAATGATGGCTTGTATGTCAATCCAATGCGTAACAGTTTCTTTACTCCTCCTTCCCCGACCGGCAGTGTTTCAGGAGAATCATTTTTCCTCCACGACCCTCATGAACTAATTTATAATCGAGTTCGGGAGTTGTTCGATTCCGATTGTAACAGTGCTGGAAATTTAAATCCGAAAATTAATCGCCACAAAACTCACAGTCATAACAAAATACATAAATCAAATACCATAAACAATGCAGTTGTTGTACAAGCAGATGTTCACTCCAGTTCAAGTGGTACAGGAAGCGGATCAGAAGAATCTATTTCCGTTTCTATTCAATCGAATATGAAATTATCCAAAACAAACAATTTTCGAAGTCAAAGTTTTAATCTTCACACTAAATGTAATAACGAAGTTAGCAGCCACGATCAAGGCTTCAGCGCCAGCACCAGCACAAAAAGCATCAGCAATGATAAAAAAAAAATTAATGCCAATTTAATTTCTGGAATCAACTATAATAAAATCAACAACAATAATATTAAAATTGATAAACAAAATCAAGAAGCTAAACAACCTAAAACAAACTATTTAAACAATGACAAGCTGAAACCAGAAAGTTCACATGACCATGATTACGAGGATATATATTTAGTTCGTGAGGAGGCGCGAAAAAACAAAAGCAAATGTGGTTCTGGACGATCACGGTCCCGTGATAGTGGGTCTCATTCACGCTCAGCTAGCACTTCCTCGACTCGAAGTTCAGATTTCGTACTACAATACAGCAATCATGTAAGTAAACATATATAGCAAAACTTTTCAAATTAAATTTAGCAAAGTCGTCTTTAATTCCTCATCCCCTTGGTTATAAATGTATTTTGAGATAATTCCGTTAAGTGGTTGGTTTGTAATCGTTAAGTGGTGCACTGCCTATCGAATAAGCATCCTAATTTCACTGCTTATTTTGGAGAGGTATTACATTAATCCATCACACATCAAATTAGTGGAAATTCTGAAACTTATTTGAATAAAAAAGATGAATTTTAATTTTAGAATATGAACAACAAACAGCAAAGTGAGCGGCTAAATCGAAATAAATCACAATCGACTATAGGAATAAATAGCAAACCCAAATACGAGTTATCGCAAAAGGAAAGTTTCACCGTTAAAAATGTCAATCTAAAGAACCTGCTCAACGCTAGTAGCAATATCAATTGTGGTGTTAAAAGCGACACATATGAAAGTGTGTGTCCAATAGAAGATGTTGCTGAGCGCACCAAGCAGTCACAGAAAAACTCCGTTATTCGAAATAATCTTGATTACGGTAGCACCGGGAACACCTGCAATATATTCCACCCAACATGCAATGATGGCAACACATGCGATCGCCAGTTAAAACGAGTTTCATCTGCTCCGCCTATACAAAACATAGAAATCGGTATGTTTCACAAATGCAAATATATGTACGTTCATATGTCTATTTCTACAATACATGCATACATACTAACTGAGGTACACGAACGAATACATAAATTTTCGCATCATTTTAGTAAGTGGGCCTCCACCCCCTCCACTGCCGCCACCGATGAACGCACTTTTACACAAAAGAATGCAATTAGTTACATCAGATCCCATGAACTTTTGTATTAGTAACTCAAATAGTAACTTGGATAATATAGATTCCGATTCAGGACTTGAGGTGATTGAGGAACCCAGTTTGCGTCCATCTGAGTTGATCAGAAGCAAACACAACCGAACAATGTCTACAATATCAGGTGAGATACAAATAAGCTCATAAATTTTTAATCAAAATCAAATAAACTCAGGTAATCTTAGTTTACGTTTCAAACCTTACGGACTAAGGTGAATTGAAAATCGAATATTGACAATCAACTTCATTCTTAGAAATTTTGATCAATTAACAGAAAAGAAGAGAAGAAGCACCTTTTTTAAATTTATATTAAAGCTAACTAAACAAAATTTGGTAATCATAAGTATGACCTCTTAATTGTTTTTATGTTTTAAACTTTATAACTCAATCAAAAAAAATGCATGTTAAATTGCAGCGCTCATAGTCTTGTAGGATATGTACTGAAAAAACATTCGTTATTTTTTACCCACCCTAATATATATATAATATTCTTTATTTAGTATAACTAGAACTTATATATAATATTATAAATACATATTTATATGTAAATTATATCCTGTAACATCCCAGATTTGAAAATTGACCGCCACAAAGGTCAAACTTATACTTACATATATGCATACTTTTATATGTATCTTCCAATACTAAATTGCAATTTAAATGGTGATTTTGAAAACTTGACGACCAAAAGTCGTATACCGGATCGGCTGGTTCAGTAACTTTCCTTATTTTTTACTCCAAATTTGCACGTTAACCATTTACACCCATACATTACTAAATTCAAACATATAGCCAAGCACATCTTTAACCATGTAAGTGGTATATACCAGTATGTGACCAAGGCGAGTAAAAAGATACCAATGAAAGTGAATGTGGAATTGTTCGGCTTGGTAATAGACAGGTTAGTATTTCAACAACATATCCCAACAAACAAAACCTCTATGGTTAAATCGTGGCATGTTGCACAAAATATTTATACATGGTAGTTACTTGAAAAATATTTACATGTCTCTACCCAATACACGATTGTTATTCTACTTGCATAGTCAAACACTCAAAATGGTACTTTTTAACAGAAAAAATGTAAATAATTTGTATATTTAACTGATGTAAGAGAAAGCCTATTTATCCTTTTCATTAGATTCAGTTACTTGGTTACTCTTGATTTCAATGTGAATGAACATGCATTCATATATATGTAGATATTGCATTTTTGTGGCAAAGTGTTGGTTAACACTAAAAATACTTTAATAATGACCATACGTGTGTGCCTACTACAGTGTAAACCAGTAGGATATGCTTTAGTTGCATTGATGGCATCCTCTGAACCGCTACACAAAATACTTGGTCACCGCACGGTTAATTCTACAATCTCGTCATAACTTTATACACTTCTTTGTAAATCTTTTACCTTTTCAAAGCACTAGACTAACAGCAAACATATGTTAGGTCAAAAGAAATTCTCTCGACGAAATTATTTTACGTTGCGTTTTTCCTATTTTGACATATTTAATATTCGTTGTAAGTATAATGTGAAGTGTTCACAGGTAAAAGAATATTATCCTAAGCTATTGCGTTTCTAAACGCATTAGAATAATTGCATGCGCTGTATATGAAAAAAAAACCATATCCAAACAGCTGTGTCTTATTTTTGTGGAAAACCGTAACAGAATGGCAAGAAAATATAATCTTCAAACAAGATTAACATGGACCCAGTACAAATGTTTACAGAGTCAACCACTGTACTGGAGATTTAATTTTGAAAATTATTGATACAAATATTTGTCAAAGAGAAAATTTTATAAAGATTTTTTTTTGAATTTTGTACATATTCTTATATTTGGGAGACTAGAAATACGTATATATGTACATGTAATCTATTTCACGAATGGTTTTAGGTGGAGATAAGTCTTTAAGTTAGATCAAACTGCTTACAGTGTGCAAAATTTTACTTAAATCGGTTCAGTAGTTTAGGCGTCTACCCTGGACAAAACTCGACATATGTGAAAGTTTTGTGTATTACACAAATTATAAATTTTCGGATTACTACAACTTCTGCAAGGATTATACAATATACACATTATATATATATATATATATTTATTAGTAACAAAAGGTAAATTTTATGATATTTCCAAATTAATTGCATATCGACATAGCTTTATTATTATTCAGTAAGTTCAGAAATTGTATTTATCGCTTCCATGTATGAATTAATTCGCCCGCGATTTTTGTGTTTGAACCGGCATCTGAACAAAGGCATTATTGGATGTGAAGTTTTTTTTTAATGTAATATTAATCGGGAAATCCAAAATTTCGAACAATAGGTTTTTAAATACATCTTATATACCTTCTGGATTCACTTTCCACCTATTACCGCTCATTTTCAAGAATTTAATAGGGAGAGAAAACCTGATAGAATTTGTGCATTATGTGTCATTATTGTGTATCCATTTTACAGTGGATATCCGTAGAATGCATCAGAATTTTAGAACGATTTTTTCTTTAGCCTTTCAAATGTGAGAAATGCAAATGAAAGGGAACATTACACTCTATCTTGGCACGGAGCATTGTCTTGATGGAACAGTAATTGGTAATAACAATAATAGTCGCTGCTGATGCTTTTTTTTTTAGTTTTCAGGATAGACGGTGAAAAAATTAACCAATTAACTATCGCACTGTGGATCCCAAATGTTTTAGTGGACTTTATAAGGTGTTCGTACGTAGCAGCCTCTTTTGGATGTCCACCGCACTCATTATCTCCGAAGCTCATATCAGGAAACATGCATCAAGTCACATTTTGATATCAGCGGCATATTTTTTCATTAATTCCTTTACTTTAGATCTACTCTGGCATTTTGTAACGCCAAGTTTACGTCACCTTAAATCCTATATTTCAAAAACCAATTTATTGACAATGACAATAAGTTTTCCGTACATATTTTTTAGGTTTTTCAAACAAACTTGTTTAAATACCCCAAACCCGTTTCATATACTATTTAGTTACGTTTATTGTAAAAAAAATGAATACATAAAATTTCATATGTACACAAATTATACATACACTTGTTAATTTTAATTATTATTTTACAGCAAACAAGAAAGCTAAACTTCTTAATGGCGGTTGTAATGAGAATATACAAAACTCTATGTCAAGTGCAACTATTAGTTGTGTTACAACTAGCAGAGAAAACTTTGCTTGTGACAGTTATCACGATTGCAATAAACAGAAAGATGAGAGAATTCAAGTGCACAATTACCATTCAAACCAAGCAGATGTCCAGCAACATCCAATGCCCCACAGCTATCAGCAATCTCAAATGTATGGATCTTCTGCCGAAGATCATTACGAACTACAACTGGCACAATATGGGTACAGCAATTCAAATGGGAGCATAGTAAGTGGCACACGTCCTGGTGGTCCGAACTTAGTTAATAAACAGTTAGTACTTCCCTTCGTGCCACCCAGTTTTCCAAACAAATCGCAAGATGGCGTAACACATCTTATAAAGCCATCTGAATATCTAAAGAGTATAAGTGATAAACGATCCTGCCCTTCTTCAGCAAGGTGAGTGTGCTTATTCGATTACATTTATAAAATGATGATATTTACTTTACATTAAATAGGCATTTATATAATATTAATTGAATTTCTATCCAATATATGTATATACAAAAATGTACATACTCATTTAATTGGAAAAATTTACTTATGGTACATATGTTTATATTGTACATACAAATTCATAGAGTAGTAACCTACAAACATTTCTATAAAATTGAATACTCACACTCACTGCAAGTTTTTAACGAATACCGTAAATGAATTAGTGCATTTAATTTGCAAAAATATCCACTTTGCCTTGTTAATCGCGTGCCGCATGAGAGAACGCATCGTCTGCTGAATTCAATGGTCCATTTCACCAAAGCATTTATTTATGCATTGGCGTGTGTATTTATAATTTGTGCTAGTTTTCCTAAAAAGTTATTTTTATGTTCAAATGAAGTTATCAGTTTTTCAGTTCAGTAGCAAAAACGATGATATTACGAACACATCCAAATAGGCATCGGTTAGTTAAAGTTTTCTAAGGTTATTGTTTGAACAAAATTAAACAATCAAAAATCTTTTATCAACCTATATATAGTACATTTGTACATGTATTCTTATTTAGATCCACAGATACTGAAGATTACATGCATATACAGGTGGCTAATCAGCACGGAGTTAACTGCGACCCTCCAAAGCCTCCACCTCCGCCACCACTCCCAATTCATCCTTTAATGCATCACAATGATAAGCAAAACAATATAAAACCAGGAAACGTTAATCATGTATCTGTGGTTAATCAGGACACTGCCACCCGCAAGCAGCATCAACCTCTTTCCGCCATCTCCATTCAAGATCTTAACAGTGTTCAGGTAAACCTTATTTAATACATATGTGTGCGTATTATATAATTTTTTATGTATTTATGGGTATTTCACAGCTTCGTCGAACTGATACCCAAAAAATGCCCAAACCATATCAAATGCCAGCACGCAGTCTAAGTATGCAGTGTCTTACCACGTCAGCGGATTCTTACCTTAAAACGGATTTAATTGCCGAATTGAAGATGTCAAAAGACATTACGGGCATTAAGAAAATGAAAGTAGAGAAACAGTTGGCCGGTCAGTTTGACATTGAACATTATTCCGAAATTTCTAAACAATTTTCGACAAACAATTATATGGATCAGGTACGGACATACACCGCCATTTTGTATTAACTTAACAGGTATTTCATTTGCTACCAAAGCTATATATGCAGATTCCAGAAAAAGATCAGGCTGGTAACATCATTCCGGATTGGAAACGCCAGATGATGGCAAAAAAGGCAGCCGAACGAGCCAAAAAAGAATTCGAAGAACGAATGGCTAAGGAAGCAGAGAATAGGCGCCTCTCACAAATACCTCAGTGGAAACGTGACCTACTAGCCAGGCGAGAGGAAACCGAAAATAAATTAAAGTATATGCATTATAAATTTTCTTTTCAAAATACTAAAAACAATCGCACATACATATATATTTGCATTTTTGCAGAGCATCAATTTATACACCCAAGGTGGAGGAAAATAATCGTATAGCTGAAACTTGGCAACTTAAGAATCGGGCAATTTCAATTGATAATATTAATTTAGTTTCTCCGAGCGTTGATAACCTGCAAATTGCTCCCGGAACTTTTGATAATAGTAACAAGGAAAATAAGGTACAAAATGAACAAGCTCCGATGATCAACATTCCAGTATCAGATGATGATATCAATAGTAATCAATACAACAAAGGAGATGAAGTCGATAACATTATACCATGGCGAGCCCAGTTACGAAAAACGAATAGCAGGCTAAGTTTAATTTAAGAACGAAAATATTTTAACACTATATCAAATTTACTGTAATTGTGAGTTTAAAATAACTACTAGAGAATTTAATTTTTGTTATTTACAGTTTATATGTGTAAAACAGAACTTGGTAGTATTAACACTTATACTACTTTTGGGAGGTATCCACATACTCTCTTGTATTAATTCAAATCAGTAACTTTGCTGTTACTTTTACATGCCAAATTTTTTACATAGCATGGAGAGCAATGTCGAATCGAAAAAAGCTAGCATATGTATTTTATAAGGATACGATGTGGTACGACTTTTTTGCTTGAACTTAGTAAAATATACATATGTGTATGTCTCGTACACTTAAGTAAGAACAATGGTACATTTACCCATCAAAATTACATTTTGGTTTGAAAAGAAAATCACAGTAACAATATTCTGGAAAAATACGTTTTCCGACAATTAATTTATTTTAATATAAAATTTAGATTTTCGAGAAATAAGTTATTTTACCGTAGGCTAGACAACAAACGGCGTTGTCAACAATAAATAATGAAAGATAAACACTTTCAAACAACAACATCGGTGTATTCATTGTCAATATAATAAAGATCTTATAAATATTTATCTATACATATGTTATTAAAGTTGTTGAAAAAATATAAATTCACACACATACATACATACTTTTGTAATATACATACTGTTTTGTGCATAATACTTAACTTTTACTTAGCATACTATATACATTCATATGTACACACTTCGTCAAGTTTACACACATTTACATATGTATGGTATTATTCTTAATTGACTATATTATGCCCAACTATAATTTACAATAAAAAGAAATTTGATAATATTAAACTTATGCATTGAAACTTTCGATGTTCATTGTCCACCTCTTTTTTGGTGTTAGCTAAGAATGATAGAGATAAGAATACGATTGCGATCAAGGCTGACGTCATAAAGCGAAAATGAAAAGAGGCAACGTAGAAAAACTAACATTGTTGGTGTTGCCTATTCCATTTCATATTGCTTGTGTGTTTTCTGAAATTGTAAAATAATTACATTTGCATATCACATTCAAAATATTTAATTTTCTTCTTTTTATATCTTATATATAAAAATGCACAGTTATTCGTTTATTCCTACAGAAAGTCCTAACGGAGGATTTTTTTGCAAAGTCACTGCCGATACACTCGATGAATGTTGAACAAAACATTACCATATAATTACACAGGGCATGCGACGCGCCCTCTTCTACTCTTTTTCTACAACGTTATACATTATAACCTCTATATAAAGTCGGTAAGTTAAAAGTAATGCATTACTCCTCGCATATCACATAACAATCGATTTCTGATCGTATTTTTATCGTAAGCGCAGCCGCGGATTAAACCTAGTAAAATATGAATGAATGATGGTGAAAAATTTTACTATAGCGTAAATAAATTTTACATTGTGCTATACCAAATGGATTTTAAAATTTTGACAATTGATATTTTTGTCTTGCTATTTAAAGCATTAAGTACATTCATAAAATTAATAAAATTTAAAGAAAAATATGTGCTTTGCTAATGGTAATACTAAGGGAGCAAAATGAAATGAATTCATTTGAAGGTTTGTGTTTAACTAGAAACTTTAGTCCAATGCTAAACTACTACTACGCTCCTTACATTCGATATACGTACATATGTATGTATATACTTATATTCAGTTTTTAACGAAACTCTTGAGGATACTTTTTCATTATAGAATTATAACTGAAATTGAGCATATTTAAGGATTCATTCCAACACGTGTACAAAAAGTGTGTAAATTGTGCAAAATAAATGTTCAAAGTTCCGAAATTTCAAAGTTCTTTAATGAAAAGCTTAACTAAGGAATCACGGTCTATTTAATGTTCTCTTGTATACTAAATTACATCTTACGGTTATTTGTAAAAAATAAAGAAATAATCCCAACATCTTGCTTCTTTTGCTACCGCAGATGAGAGATTGACGAGCAAGTAAGTTTACAAATATTAAAATTGTAACCCGGTTTTTTTAAATTAGTTTATTCAAGAACATATTTACATTTATAAATTGTCATATTAGTAATTAAAATTATTGTACCTAGCCTGAAATATCACAAACCTTAATGAGACATGTTAGTGATTTTTCAAATATTTCAATTATAACTTTATGACTGTTTCAAAACGGAGCACGCTATTCCATAGACATTCGCCGCATATCCATTAATGGGTCAATGGAAATATTTCCTGTTATTAACAGCATGGTTCTCTTTGCATAGATTAAATTATAAATTCAAATAAAAGAATTTTCACGACCTTATAACAATATACTGTATTGTATTTGTCTAGTTTTGATAAAATATTTTTACTCATAGGTGCAGTTCCAAGAGTTATTGAATTTTTAATGTTATTTATGACATCACTTATCGAACTAAATTGGCAATCTACCAAATTATCAGTCGCGATGAACTTAAAAGGAACCGAGTCATTTAGTTTTTTTAGTCACAAACAACTTAACTTTTCGAGCAAATCTTCCAAAAAAAAAAGAAAATTTGTGCTTGTCAGTCAATTAGTGGGTATGCTATTAGCAACCGAACATTTTACACTCCCGCATGGTAAAGTCTTATATGGGATTTTCGTGTATATATTAATTAAAATTGCAAGTATTGCATTCATTTTTTACAATCACAGCTTGAATATACACTATTATTACAAAGAGATTCTTTCTGAATTTTATTAAAATTTCTTACATATTGATCGAGTGATGCGGAATAAAGTCAACCGAAAGTTAGAAAATATTTATATCAGAACGCACCAATTGATCGATATGTTAAGTATGCGTAGTAGTTGTCCGATTTCGCACTTAAACAGTACGTTATATGGGACTGGGCGTGGTTATTATCCGATTTTACCCATTTTCACAATATAAATATAAAGACGTGCTAAAAGAAGTTCGTTTCAGCAATTGTGGTTAACTTAGCTTTAAGGGTTTTATTATTTTAAACCATTTAAGAGACACACCCACTTTAAAAAAAATGAACCAACAGGTGTGCCTTGTTACTGCGATCCTTTATACCAAATTATAGTTCTGTATCTTAAATAAGTGCTTAGTTATGGCACTTTGTAGGTTTTCGTATAATGGCGTTTTGAGGGCGTGGCAGTGGACCGATTGCGTCCATCTGCAATACGAATATCTCATGGGTGCCAAGGCAGATTTGTAGCAAGTTTCATCTAAATGGAAATCAGGATTTCAATTTGCTCATCAACCTAATCACTTATATATATATAACTCTATATCCATCTCCATTAGTTTTAGGTGAAACAACCAACTATTATTCAGTTCAGTTAGTGAGAATAACAAGTTCTTACCACCATGATTAGTATCAAATAATAAATAGATTTAACATATAAAATAATAAATGAAAAATATTTCCAACAAATTATAGAATAACAGAGAAAAGTATTGTAAACAATATCACGTTTCATACCACAAAGGGTCTAAAATTGAAAACATCTCTTATGTCTTGCGCTTTCAGAAAGGTTTTTAAGCTCAAGGAAACTTTCAAATAAATAGGTAGGTAGGGTAGGTAGAGTGGCTGTTTAACGACGCACCTAGGCCTATTGAGATACCACCGGAACTAATGTTCTAAGCTTCTACAATAGTCGTTGTAAGCTACACCTAGCCTGCTGGCATGTCTACCAATTAGACAGTGACCTGTTAGTACTCCTATCAGAGTTCTTATGTCATTCCTTTTGAAGTTTAGTAATGGTTTGTGCGACTCACGCTCCAATCCTGCCATGTTCGTCTGCTAGTAGAGTAAGTTGTTGTTTGTCTTCACCGAGACTCAGCTAGATTTACAGCATGTTCGCTGATTAAGTGTTTGCAAATTCCCAGAGGCATAAAAATTCCCTCTTTTTCAGGGGTTAGTTGCAAAGTGGTACCTGTTCTGGCTAGTTCATCTGCTTCGCAGTTACCAGGGATATCACTATGTCCTGAAACCCATTGCTGGTTTATCGTGAAGTATGATGTCAGATCCTCTAATAGGTCAAGACATTCTTTCACTACCTTGGATGATACCATTGAAGACTTGAGTGATTTCAAGGCGCCTTGGCTATCTGTATATATATATATGCTCCTTGTTGTGAGCACACTTTTTGTCAATACCGCAAGGCTTTTTTTGATTGCTGTGATCTCCGCCTGGAAGAAACTGGAGTGGTCTGGTAAACGGAAGGCGATTTTGGTGTCTAATGTTGCGCAAAAGACACCACCTCCCACTCGATTATTCAGTTTGGATCCATCCGTCTAGATGTTAATTCCTGTATTCCTGTCCACCTCGTCTCTTTCCCACTCCTCTCTGGTGGGGAAGGCAATATTGTAGACCGAATTTAGCTCCAGTTCTATTGGATTGCGAAAATCCGTGGTTTTGGGTAGGAACGGGAATATACTGAGTATCCTAGAATGTCCCTTGTTGCATGCGACTAGTTGGGAGGATTCCTTCTGTCTGAGAGCTGACTTTGCTGCCACTTGCTTACAGAACAGGTCAGAATGACGTTTAGATCCTGGCTTGGCGTTGTGCTAAGAGCTCCACTAATGCATATACTGGCTGCTCTTTGTATACTTTCCATACACTCTTCACCCTAGCATCCAAGTTTTGTTTCCATGAAAGCTTCTTGTCTAAGATTAGTCCTAGGTAGCTTACCGTCTCTCCAATTGTTAGTCTGCAATCATTTAATAATGGCGCCGTAACTTCTGGAGTATTATGCTTTCTGGTGAACAATACTAGCTCTGTCTTACCAGCATTTAAGTTTAATCCGCACGATACAGCCCAACGATTTATATCGTCCAAGATCGTTTGCATAAGGTTTGCATGAAACTGCGCAATTTAAAAATTGCATTTTTAAACATAAAAATGTGCGATATAGCAAATATGATCGATTTCTGTTAGAGAGGTACAAAAAAGAATGAATCGTGTAAAAAAATTATATCCTACAAAATTTTTAAAAAATCCACAAATATAATAAAACAATAATATTAAAATTATATTTAATTTAGTATAATACAATAACATTTTAGATAGCGGAGTTGGTTTGGTTATACCTTTTTGGAACAGCTGATCACAAAGTTTTGCAAACAATTGACATGCAATTGTTCGGAATATGAATATTTCGTTAATATAATGGATTGATATCAAGACATAAGTATATCAATCCATTATATTATAAATGTGATGCAAAATTTTCAAGAATTTTAAGTGGTTTCCATGACAACGGCAGCTCGAAGCTATATACGGTTAGAAATCGAGTTATTATTTTCAAGCCCCAAAATACCGATAATGCTGGCTTAGTACCTATGGCTGACTTTTTACCGAAAATATCGGTTCACGAATTACCCTAGCCAAATATATACAACCTATGATGATACTCGTTTTCTAGCAAATTTATAACGCATATGTCAGCCATGTTGTGTGTTATATTCATATAATTGTGTTTAAATATGTTCTCGTATACTTGAGTAAGGACAAAAGTTAATGCAATTTTTCAAACCTTCCTCTAACCCTAATACAACTTTAAACTCTTTGTATTAGTCAAAATGTGTGTATTAATGAAATTTACGATTATTTAGTTTTATCACATATTCTCATTCAGTAAACTAAGTTGATTTTAATATATGCACATACAATATACATACATACATATGTAAATATTTCGGACACGAAGAAATATATAGTAATGAAACCAAGCGTGTATACAGAGAACGTATATCATAGAGAAGGTTCAATCAGAGAACTTAAAACAATGAGAAGGTGCAGGTTCGATAGCGAACAATTTGTAGAATTTATCAAGGAGTTCACCACAGATACACAGAAACAAATAACATTTTTCGCTTTTATAACACGCGTGAATCTGTAAACATACGCTCTCTAACATAACCAAACGGCGAATATTGAAGAGAATATAATATGTATGCCAAACTGGGAATATTGATATGCTATTTGAAACATATTCCTTTTATTGAACTATTATTTATTATTTTTTCAATCTGTCGAAGAACTGACGCGACGACAAAGCGTCACAACATTGTGTTGTTGTAGAGAAATCCGAGATGTGCCGAAAATAACCGAACGCTCGCCGATGTCATCGCTTCCCTTGCCGCTCTCACAGCTTTGCCAACAATCACTGTAGGTTGTATGTTTTATATGAACATGCCTACATATTGACGAAGATTTTGCGAGCCACGGAAAATATTTTAGAATTGTAAATATTTTAAATCGACAAAAGCTTTGTTGCCACTTTTGTCATTGATTTCTGTGTTTGCAGGGTTGTCACTTTTCCCTTCTAGAGGAATATCAGAAATTTGTTCAATTTATGATTTTTAGCTTTGCCATCGTCGCGAAAAGACGCTTGTAGGCAAACGCATGCTCGGGGAGATGTGTAAGGCGTTTGCTTTTATAAATGAAACGACTTAGCTTATTGCTGTTCGCCAGCGTTCATGAATGAAAATGTTGTTGGTGTGTGATTTACTACAAATTTAGGTTTGTCAATTTGGCTACCATATTGATTTCTGGTGCTAATGCTATTTGAGACAATTGTTGTTTTTGTACAACAATGTTTGTATTTTGCCTATTGGCTGACGTACTTACATTTGTACGCTTAAATGTATGTAGATTTGTGTATGCATTACTTATTTTGCGCGGTCATACGCATATTTGTACATACATACTTATATAAGCAGTGCGCTCACATGTATTTATTGATAATTGATAATATATTATTTATTTATATAATATAACATATTGATGTACATATGTACATACATAAATTATTAATTCTGTAACAATTGAAATTAGAATATTATGAAAATAGTTCATTCCATTTTTCTCTTTATGTTGGGAGATACGTAATTTGTCAGAGAACGTTGTTATAAATTCTCATTTCTGTTAAATAACAGCATATACTACAGAAAATGGTGAACTCCTTGATCTCAATTTTTCAGCCAACCAATCGAGCATCATACAAAATTCAATTTGCACCTTCTCCAGTAGAACTTAAAACAATGAGAAGGTGCAAATTGAAATTTGTATGATGCTCGATTGGTTGGCTGAAAATTTGAGATCAAGGAGTTCACCACTTTCTGTATAGTTTTGCTGTTATTTAACAGAAATGAGAATTTTTAACAACGTTCTCTGACAAAATACGTATCTACCAATATAAAGAGAAAAATGAAATGAAATGAATGAGAAAACAAGAAATACAAATGCCACTTCACATATGCATGATTATTTTTGCCATATAAACGATTTTTATGATGAAAATTGATAAATTATTATTATTTTGCACAAATGCTACATTGATAAAATGTGAAAGATTATGCAAAAATGTTATTTTACTGTTTTCATAATTTTCTTTACAATTTGTAATTAATAATATTATGTATGTACATCAATATGTTATATTATATAATATAATAATATATTATCAATTATCAATAAAACATGTGAGCGCACTGCTCTATATGTAAGTATGTATGTACAAATATGCATATGACCGCGCAAAATAAGTAATGCATACACAAATCTACATACATTAAGCGTACAAATGTAAGTACGTCAGCCAATAAGAAAATACAACATTGTTGTACAAAAAACAACATTGTCTCAATAGCATCAGCACCAGAAATCAATATAGCCAATATGACAATCCTAAATTGTAGATAATCCACACCAACAACATTTTCATTCATGAAACTGGCGACACAGCAATAAGCTAAGTCGTTTCATTCATAAAAGCAAACGCCTTACACATCTCCCCGAGCATGCGTTTGCCTACAAGCGTCTTTTCGCGACGATGGCAAAAGCTAAAATCATAAATTGAACAAATTTCTGATATTCCCTCTAGAAGGGAAAAGTGACAACCCCTCAAAATAGTATTAAAATATTTTAGAATAAAATGACCATAGTAAATTTGTCGATTTACAATTCAAGAAACTTTTAAAAATATTCAATATTCCTTGATTTATGTATACAGTAAACCCGGTTAAGTATCACTCCTCAATCCCTCTTATCTGCCGGTGTCTTGCTGCATCTCACTTTTTCTTAATTTTTAAAGAAAAGCGTAATTTTTTTTAATACATAGAAATAATTTTTGGTACCTCTCGCTTAAGTACCACAATCGCTTATGTACTACAAAGCGCAAAATCTGCATCTTTGGTTTTGGCACTTAACCGGATTGACTGTATTTGTCACACAGTAAGTACGTTCGAATTTTTGTACACACATTGCCTTTGCACTTGCCCATATGCGATGTATGTTTGTAAGAGTGTATGGCACATCTCGGATTTTACCAACAAAACAATGTGTGACGCTTTGTCGTCGCGTCACGTTCTTCGACAGATTGACTTTTGACATAAAACAAAAATGTGTCAACGAGATTTCACATGAAGTAATAGTGTACATTCTACATAAAAGACATACAAATGTGTAAACGACATAATATTATATATGTATGTCCTGTACATATGTTTACATGCATTTGAAAAGAAAATTGAAGCATGAATGTGAAATACCGACGGCAAAACACAATTCTTGTACTTTATGACTCCATAATGGTGTCAAGTCAATTAATGAATTATTTGTAATATATCAAATACTTTAATATATATAATTAAAAGTATTTGATATATTCTCATAATAAAGTAAAAATGAATTAACATAAAATAATTTGAAAATAATAAATAATAGTTCAATAAAGGAATATATTTCAAATGGCATATCAATATGCCCAGTTTTGCTCACATATTATATTCTCTTCAAATTCGTCGGTTGTTATGTTAAGAGAGCGTATGTGTACAGATTCACCGCTGTTATAAAAGCGAAAATGTTATTTGTTCTCGTGCATCTGTGGTGAACTCCTTGATAAATTCCTACAAATTGTTCGCTGTCGAACCTGCACCTTCTCATTGTTTTAAGTTCTCTGCCTTCTCGTTGTTCTAAGTTCTCTGGTTCAATTGCGGACCAGCGTGTGAATGTAAAACCAACAAGATTTTATGTAGGAATTTCACCTCATCTGGCTCGGAAGGGAAATTTTAACAGAAGTGAGTGAAGAAGCTGAGCATTCAATGTGAAATTATGTCAGAGACTTGCTTTGATATTACAGCCACATGTTACTCTTTTGGCTTATATTCTTATACGTTTATATGCAATCATATTTATTCATATGAATATCATTTTGCGAATTTTTATGAATGCTTGCAATGCAATGTTTATTTTTGTAGCACGATTCGTGAGCCGCCCTGTATATGCAGAATATCTTAAAATTATATGTAAATTCGTTTGCGCATTGTAAATATACGAATCTGTAATCGTACACTTCTTAACATTGAATTTAGCTTATTTTTCTCATTTAACATTTAAAATGCTCAATTCTGCTATTTTGCGCTCCGCAGGGGTAAAATTCTGGTGAAATCAGCTTATAATTTGTTTGTGGTGAAATGCACTAATGTTGGCGAGTAACCCTCCGTCAAGAGGAACATTTTGACAATCGGCACACCATGAACCTTCTCTATGATATACGTTCTCTGGTGATATACACACCTTTGAAAGGGAGAGGAATGAGAAAAAGAATATACATATGTACGTTTTTGATAATGTTAAACAACGTTTTTATATACGTATTTTATAATACGTTATATAATCATAGACAATTAAACCACCTATAAAATATACAACAAGATAAGACTCAGCTGACCATTCGTCCCGGTTTCGCCCGGACAGTCTGGATTCCTAGTTAGGCGTCCCGACCGTCCCGGGCGCAAAAATTAAAAAAAAAATAATGTATTGAATAAAATTGTGCTGCTCTCTCACCTATTATATGTTGCGATTTTCAATAAATTATATTATAGAAATAATCGATGACTAAAAAAACCGTCCCGAATTTTGTCAGGAAAAATATGGTCACCTAAGGTTACACGCGCTCAAGTCCTACTAAACCAAATATTGCCACTATGTACAAGTGTAAGATGTTATTTTTGGTGTAGACATCGCTTAAAATTTTTTGGTGAAATAAACCGTGAGAAAGTAACCACGTAATAATTTTAAATAGTAATCAGTTTGGTGAAGGAACTTCGGCAACCCTGTCATTTAGAAGAGTAGATTCAACGAAATTCATTTATTGTTCATTATTACAGCAGACGGTGATTGAGTTACACATAGTATAGTTGTGAAAGTGTTTATAAACTTCCTAAAACTTATAAGAGAGGTAAATATATAAATGTAAGTAGTTTCGGTTTACCTATTTATTTTATAATCCTAACAAAAGATTTCGTTCAAATGATATTAAGTTGATGTTGAAAAATTTGCATTGAAAAAATAACTAATGCTGCAAATGGCGTTTTGGATTTTAATAAGCGATGTGTTGGTGTTACCACTTTCAAAATGGCCGCCATTGTAGTTCATAGTTTAGGTTTAAAATGTATAGTTCATAAAACTTTCATTATATATATATATAAACTATTTTGTATTCTTAGATAAAATGAAAATGTTTATATGATTAGTGATGAACATGGATTGTGTATAATATATTCAGATATTTGCAAGAATGCAAACATTTTTTTTTTTTTGGAAGCCTGTATACATACTTTTTCTTCCATAATTACGATTTTGTACTGATGTGTATCCATCAATATGTATAAGAAAGCTTGCTTGAGCATACATAGCTATCTGTATATGTATAAAATATTTCGCGCTTATTTTATTTTACATACCAAACTGTATTTAACAGCTGCTATGTAGATATTGTTGTGTTGCAAAAGGAGCGTTCTGTATAAAAATCATAAATCACAAGTTTTGGCGGCAATTATACATATATCAATGAATATTCAGAAATTATTACCGCTAAATACAAACTATCTTTTACGCAAGAATTAAGTACAGTTAACGCAAGAACTATTCAAACTAATCGATTCTTTCAAGGCTGAGTAAGTAACGGCGAAACCAAAAAGTCCCGACGTGCTAATATTTTTTTTTTTTTTTCAGAAATTGCACATTTGACGAAAACCATTTAATTAGATAATTTGTATGTATCCAGTATGCAACACTTCCGTTATGGAATAATAAACTACAAATGTTAATGCAAATAAACAATTTGTAGCATTAGAGTTAAAAAAAAAATTTAATATGCAATATACTAGTACTATGTATGCATCGTTTCTTCATAAATTCATTTGTAACGCAACACTGTCCTTTATCCTGAGCAAGTATGAGCCTACAAGTCTGCTATATATTGTTTGTTTTATTTGTACGACATATTTTCAGTTACTCATACAGTAATTGTTGATGTTTATGTTAATGGAAATTCTCAAAAAATTTTCCTAAAAAACTCGGAAGATTTTATTTCCAATTTAATTCGTTGTCTTTCAATAATAATAATTTAATTATCAAAATGTTAAGTAAAGGTTGGCGTTCATAACTATGTTGGATAGTCGCGTTGTTTTAAAACTGTGTTTAACTGTACCAACAAGATTTTTGCTTTTCAAGGGCAGTTCCTGACTTGCGCCACACAATTTGTCGACTTTTTGTCAAAAATGCAAAATTTAAATTTACTTTCATCCGAAAATATTGTCTCCAGAACTCCGGCGACTTATTTATATATTGTATTTATGAGCAATGCGCTTTCGTCTGTTTACAAGTGAAATATATGGTTTCTTACAAACGACTTTACCATGATATCCTTCTTTTCGTAGAATTTTTTTTTTTAGCAGTTTCGGCACAAATTGTTTTTTTTTAATGGTTATATTTACTTTTTCAATAATGTTTGTTGACGTGGGTTAACTTTCACCATTTTCATATTTTCCGTTCTTCTCGGGTTGATAATATTTTTGGACAGCCAGATCGCGGTTTTGACGTTAAAATTTCGGTTTTTTTTTAATTGACGACACGCTGGACAGAAGAATACGTTCTTCCAATAGTTTGCCCAATTTTCTGAAGCTTTCGCCATCTTTCCACAACTAGATACTTTTTTTTTCGGCCAACTAATTTCTTTTCCTTTGGTTTCCATTTTTTTAGTTTTAATATTATTAAAACGCTCTTTAAATGATTAATTATATTAAAACACAATAGAATCTACGGAAAAAGAAGAAACAAATTCATGAGAAGTAACGGTATTTTCATCTCAAGCTAACTGACCGCGGACTTAATGGTGCCTATGTTTACTTTTCTTAAACCGAAATCCCTTTATCATAAAAATGAAAAGAGGAATATACATTTTTGTTTTTGCATTTTGAACTTAAGAATATAAAGAAGAAATACATGTAAAAATTTTTAACTGGATTACATATTTATATTGTGCTTTTACTTCATTTAAAAAAATTGTGTCGGATGAACGCAGACTTCATTGGGTATGTGTATCAATGTAATATTATTATTAGCCGTAAATATAAAAACACTTTCACTTGCTGTCACAACAACATTTATAATGTATTAGCATAGTTAATCAAATATAGTGTAAATATCAACAATTTTCGGAAATTTTCACAGTTATTTGGACCATGCTTTTCTGTAAAACTTAAAATTCAACAGATTTTTCACTACCATCTTTATCTGTTTTGGGAAACTATTTAGATTTTGGGTAAACTGTACATTTGAACAGCAGTTGTCAAATAATCCTTTCATGTTTTAAGGTAATTTTAATTCCAGTTCGAAAAAGCAGATATGGCTTTTTTTTTTGCCGAAAATGAATGTTCGGAAAATCATCACTGTCGTAGTTGTTGCGCAAAAACGCGCAAACTATATAATCGAAAAATAGTTGCACAAAAAATTACAACCAAAACCAACAATGCTAGCTAAAATCTTATTGTATTGTTTATTTTAAATTAATGTTTTATTATATTTGTGGATTTTTAGGGTATAGAACAGAGATTGGATAAAGTGCACTTAATCTATCATTTTTGAAATAATCAGTTTGGCTTTATTCTATTTGCCAAAAGAAAATTTTTTTTATATACACAATTCATTCTCTTTTTGTGCCTTTTTTAATAGAAATCGATCATTTTTGCACATTTTCAAATGCGCAGTAAGGGCATTAGTCAACCTTAAAGTAGCAGTACAAACTGCACAGTGTTGCCAGACCTAATACAAAGGTATCAGTATCATGAGCAAATCGTTAATTTTAATCTGGTAAGACCTATCAATTTTCCACACAAATATATACATTCCGGACCGACCAGAAAACCATTGGTGAAATGGCTATGGAACTTCCTAAACATTTTAATAAGTTAAGAGTAGGTAAATAATTTTTCAATTAAAATTTCAATAAACGTTATTGTCGGCGTTTTTTAATTATACTGAGATCGGTAGTCTTTCACTATACAAAATACTGTTATAGTATTCATGGCTAGTGGACCGATCACTAGTTACCTAATATACTTTATATTGTATATAATTACAATGCCGTATTAAAATGTTATGTAAAAACTTATATTTAACTTTTTTACGAAATGCATTGTACCACATTAATAATTTGGTCCCAATTTAAACATGATGGCATATTGTATTTGATTCCGACTTAGATTTCCATTCCGAAAAATAGTCTTGTGAGACACTGCTAAGTGGGAAAAAATTACCAATTATTTTAACACAAAATATATGTAACCAGGTGATATTAAAGCTTTTATAATTAATTTCCAGATAAAAAGAAGAAAAAAGAACAATGGCTCGTACTAAGCAGACTGCACGTAAATCTACCGGTGGAAAAGCACCACGCAAGCAACTTGCCACAAAGGCAGCTCGTAAGTCCGCCCCCTCAACTGGCGGTGTAAAGAAACCTCACCGTTATCGCCCGGGAACCGTAGCCTTACGCGAAATTCGCCGTTATCAGAAATCGACTGAATTGCTTATTCGAAAATTGCCATTTCAGCGCTTGGTCCGTGAAATCGCTCAAGATTTCAAAACTGATTTGCGTTTCCAATCCGCTGCCATAGGTGCTTTACAGGCAAGTTTTATAAAAGCTTATTAAGTGTAGCGGATTGAATTTTAAACATATTTACTTATTTTAATCAAATAGGAAGCATCTGAGGCATATCTCGTCGGCCTTTTCGAAGACACTAACTTATGCGCAATTCATGCCAAACGCGTAACTATAATGCCGAAGGACATTCAATTGGCTCGTCGAATCAGAGGAGAACGCGCTTAAGCTTCTTAATAAACTTATCAATTTTCTTAATTATATAATAAAAATTAATAAATATGTAATACACTTAAGATTTCCCCCAAAACTCCAATAACGGTATTCTGTTTACTTGCAGTTATTGATTGAAAATACTTCAAAAATACTTGTGTAGTATTTCTAATAAATAAGTATTATATAATTTCTTTATATGTATAAGAATGAAAATACTTTGTTTTTGTGCACTATAATGGTGTATTCTATAATGGTATATTCTATCCCTTTAATTATTACAATAATACATTATGCTCTCATTTTTCGTAAACGTTATCCATTTGAAAATATGATACTTTCACAACTTATGTAGGTATTTAACGGTAGTATCCCAACCGTGAAAACATTAAAGAAGTAATCAATGGTAAAAGCACTTAGTTTTCTATAAGATTACATATTAATTACAGTTAAATTGTAGTTTGTATACAATATATTCAAAAAATAATAAAACGGTTTTGTTACAAAGCCGAAAATTAGCAGTCTTATTTTTCAACAATTTACGCTCTGACCTACATTCATCAAATCGTTTTTATGATGTATTTAGTAAAGGGATACATACAAAAATGTTGCGAGCATAAACAGTCGGTACAATCTTTTGTTCTACGCCATTTACTCCATAATTAAAACCTTAAAAATTATAAATTTTTAACGTTGCGCCAGTCCAATGTTAAAATCATTTCCACTGCTTTTTTGATAAGTACCGCCCGAAAGAAATCAAAGAGATGAGCGTATTTTCAATATTGGATGTACAGCTGTTGCATAAGCATTCTTATCGTAATTTCTGTCATTCTAAAAGGTTTCGCCTGTGTATGTATTGATAAAAAAGTAGGGGTGCGTTCGAGCTACGTAATAATTGCAGTAGTAGCATCTCCAAGGCACTCCAGGTTTTGTTACTTGTAGGTTTATACAATAGTACTTTCTTTCCTACCCTAGTTTGTGGAAGCGTTCTTTTATCTCATTAAGTAAAAAGCTTGGAATTTCAATGTATTCAAGTATTCATGAAGTCTTTCTTTTAAGCGCAGCTCACGGTTTTAGCCCCAACAGCTTCGTCGTTGTTGTATAATAAATTACTATAATACTATTAATTTTAATATTGTTATTAATAAATTATTGATAAATGCTTAGCTATCTGTTCAACTGGGTCGATTACCGTACCTTTTACTTTATTTCGAAAATATTGGACACTTGTGATTCTTGGGTAAGTTTAATGAATGAAAGGAGATAAAATTGATTCATCCCTTTGCTTTGGACTTATGTACCCAATATATTTTTCGAACTTCCGGGTAACTACTTATATCTTAAATATTGGTCAATACGTAGGATATTTAAATTGAGCATTATATCGCAACCGGTTCGCAATTTAACTAAAGAATAAATCTTGAATTCATATGTGTATGATAATATTTTGCAGAAAATGAATGTATTTCCACGTCTTTAATTCTTACAAATTGCAAGAATATAAAATGTTCCACTGCAACTGAACTTTACCCCATTACTACTTTTTATTATACACACGAACTTTTCTCTTTAAAAGAGAATACTGAATATTTTGTGAACGTTATGCATATGAGTTTTCAGTTGAAAACTTTAGAACGAGAATGTAAGCGTTTGTAATGGAAAATATTTTTATATATTACTTACGTACTAATGAAAGGTGTCAATAAAAGCAATTATTTAGCTTTGATCTTGATACGTGTGTTTGAGCTTTGTTGATAAGGTTTTCTGTTTTGTTTTGAAGCTTTTAATCTAAAGCTTCTGTGCATTCACTTTAACAGCAAATCATCCAAAGGTACAGTGCTTAAAGTATTGCGGATCATTATTCACATCTTGGACGTATCTGCGCAAATTATTAGTGTTATCTCTGAGTGGACTAAAATAAGATTATCGCGAATACATTAACAATAACAATGTTGACAAGTTTGGAAAACAAAGTTATCGTAGTAACAGGAGCTGGTCAAGGTATGCTTTCTAACTTCTTTTATATAACTCTCTTTTTTTAACTAATGAGAACATATATACGTAAATACGTGTACAGGAATTGGTAGAGCTTTATGCCAGCATTTGGCGACAGCAGGTGCTAAAGTGATAGCGCTTTCAAAATCAGTGGAAAAATTAGAAGAGCTTAAGAATATCTGTTCAACTGTGGAAATCATACCAGTAGATCTTAAAAATTGGCAGCATACACGGGACATTCTATCTAAACTCCCACAAATTGATGGTTTGGTGAACAATGCTGGTGTAGCAATTATCAAACCCTTCACTGAATTGACAGAACAGGATTTTGATGAGTATGATATATGTGTTTATGATGTATATACATATATTTCTTTTAATTTTACAATGATATTTCTCGTAAAGCACATTTGACATTAACATCAAGGCAGTTTTCAACGTTACCCAAACACTTTTGCCAAAGCTTAAAAAGGGTTCGAGTGTAGTGATGACATCCTCATTAGCTGCTTCTCGATCATTTAGCGGTCATGTAGTATATAGTGCTACTAAAGCTGCTGTCGATTCATTGACACGTTCATTAGCCTTAGAACTAGGACCCAAGCAAATACGAGTAAATTCTGTTAATCCTACAGTAGTTCTAACACAAATGGGACGTGAAAATTGGAGTGACGAAGAAAAATCAGGTCCGCTATTAGCACATATACCTCTAAATCGCTTTTGCGAGGTGCAAGAAGTAGTCGACGGAATAGTCTACTTGTTAAGTAGTAACTCAAGTTTTGTTAATGGACATCATTTAAATTTAGAGGGAGGTTATTCAGTTTCTTAAAAGTGACTTAAAAAAAAAAGAAATCACATATTTTTCAACAAGTAAAAATCACACCTGATTTATATTTAAAGAAAAACATTGTTTTATTTTTCGCATAATAGAATTGAAGAATTTAGATTTTTAAAACTAAACATTACATATACATTTACATAAGTACATATGTATATTCAAATTTAATTGTAGAACTCTTCATATTCTGTATTATTATTATTAATGTAAAGCATAATTAAGAAATTTTAACTTGTTGATTTTGCACTTGTTGCTTCTTTTCCCTTTCTCGTCGTCGTAATTTTTTACGTCTTCGATCAATACTCGCAAGGTCGATTTTGATTGCATTATAGGTTTTTCGCAATTCTTGAATTTGTTTTAATAAAATTGCTATGCATTGGTCAGAGCCCAGACTCGGATCTGTAGAAGGAAAAATCAATTAAAATAAAATGTCTTTATTCTCAAATATGTATGTTTATGTGCACAATAGTGTTGCTAGTTGCTGAATAAATTATTTACTACTTTCAATAAAATACCTCTTAAATGAATGTCTGACAACACTAAAATATTAATGTTCAATATACCTAATTGCACCAAGAAGTTATAGGGACAAGACCGAATTCCAACTGATGTCTGTGGCTGTTGTAGTTGAAATTGTTGTTGGAAATTATGTCGAGATTCAAGAATGCGTTGCGATGTACCATCAGAGTTTTCGTCGCTATCGGAACCTGCTATAAATATGAACGTTTTTTGTTTATGGCGTTATATTCAATTATCCGCTATAATACATATAGTCTCACATATAGATGTATGTATACACTAGTGGAAACTACTAATAAAATATATGTATATACTTCATACATGCCACTTACCTGGAATCTTTTTCATATATGTCATTTGTTTCCGCCGTTTGGTATGGTGGTCTGATGTGATAATCATTTCTGATTGCTTTCTGGGGCGCCGACGTTTTCGAGGGGATATTTCGTTTTCTATATCAACTTGTTTTTTTACATCCTCACTGCTGTCATCATGGCTTGCTGAATCATTTGGGGAATTATTCATATTAGCAAGCAAAGCACCTGGCTCCGTGACACCTAAAACCTTAATGTTGCTATCCAACAATAAAGTACTTTCTGTAGCTAATTGCGTTCCCGAAGGCTCCTCTTTTCCTCCAAAAGCAGGTGTTGGACTGCCAGGAATGGTTTCCTCGCAAAGAAGGTTTATAGACTCATTATTGGTATCAACACCAAAATTAGAAGCTAATTCATCAGCGCATAAAGTACCTTCAACTTTTTTGCTGTTAAAACGTTCAATCTCAGTATTTGTGTGCTGAATGTCGTGAATAGGTTTTACACCGTCCTCAGGTCGGAGCTCTGTACGCACATCTAAATAAAATCCCGAATTAGCTGATATACCTGTTATCGATGGGCAGGTTACTGTTGATGGCGGAGTAATTTTCAAATCATTTGATGCATCAATATATACACCCGTATCTTGAATAAACGTAATCTTACTCTCAGAATTTTTATCGATAGTCAAAGCTTCTTCGGAAGACACGATTAAATTTGAAGGTAAGAGTGTTTTAGATACAATGGTTTTATGATCCAAATGTGTGATCGGTTGGATTTTTGAAGTAGGACTTTGAGCTGCAGCTTCAGCTGCTGCCTGTGCTGCTGCTTTTACTGAGGGCACCGCTCCAGAAGCTACAACAACCGAAACTGGAATATCTGGAACCAAAATCGGTACAACATCTGTTGATCTTTGAGTATGTTGCTTTGAACTATCAATAAGAGGTGATGCAGATCTTAACGGGGCAGCAGTTTCAAAAGACTTAACACTAAAGGTATCTCTTGAACTGAAGTTTTCATTAGACCTTGTTTCAATATCGGCACTATTTTCAATGCCCAAAGATAGGCTGTCTTCTTGCTTTCGCTTGTCTTTCTTTTGTACTTCCGGATTTCCAAATTGTGGTCCTTTCTGTTCCATTGTCATATCAGCCACAACATGTAAGACGGTTGATATTCTGTTTGCTGAAGTCACAATTATAGGCGCTGATATGGTTGGAAACGATACTGATGCACTAAGACACTGTGGTCGACTTGCATGTGTAGTTTGTTGAATTTGAGGATCGGCTCTAATATGTGCCAAAATGTTATCTGGTACTATTTTACTGACAGCAACATCTGTTTTATGTGGCAATATACTTATTTTTGTCTCACCAATGGGCTGTGAATCGTTGGGACTTTTAAGAATATCACACGCGTCTTCAGCCACGTCTTCTATAACAAGGCGACGTTCCGAATCAGTACTATCCATCGAATCCTCTGAAAATGTGTTTGGTGTAGTTGTAACTGAAAGGCCACTGACTGGAGTTTTCCGTTGAATGGCACATTCAAGTTTCTGTATCGTCTCCGTTAAGTCATTATTTTTTACTGTAATAGACTCTAGTATTCCCAACTTCGGTTCAGGGCTTGTAAGAGGGATGGGTTTATTTATTGAGCCAGTTATGATGGGTAATTTTTCTAAACTCAAATTACTGCCGAAGCTCATTGGAGAGCCGGCTAAATCTATGTTAATATTTAATGGTTCATTTGAAGCACAATCACTTCCAAGTATCAACTCTGCTGTATTTTTTACAATCGCAACATCATCCTTCGAAGATCCACCATCTTCTCCTTTCTCAGTTTTAGGATCAATTCTATATTTATCTTCCTCTTTTTTTTGATTTATAGCTTTTAAAAGTTTGTCTGCGATTGATGTCGGTCTATTCTCATATTTAGCAGGCTCTAAATCAAATGCGTCTGATGTTGCAGAAAGCATTTTCTTAGCATTTTCAAATTCAAACTTATTATCCTTCGATTCGCTTAATGATGTAAATCCTTCACTCGTACTCAATTCAAAAACATTGCTCAGATCTTTTCGAGTCTCTATAAATGGACTGCCAATAACTGTCTTAATGGGTGTAGTCGGTAATGGACTAATTAATTTTGAAACGTTTTCTTCTTGGTTTTTAGAAGATGTCATCAAATTTTCAGTATCATTTTGCTTCGGCGACGCTAATTTTGGAGGGGTACCAGCAACTTCCTGTAAAGACGACAGCTTTGGTTTTTGAAAAGCATCAGTAAGTGCTCTGGTTGTTTCCTGTACTGTTTGCGCTAACTCCTCATTTAAGGCGTTTATGTTTACATTAAAATTTGGTGATGTTCTCAATGTATCGAATGATGTATTATTCAGCACTTCTGTTTTCTGTGTAGTTGAGTTACTACAAAGACTCGGATTTGATGATAATGGATTTAGTGTTAACAAGTTCGTTTGACAATCTAATGTACCTTTTGTTACGACTGGAATAATGGAAGCAATTTTATTGATTTTTCCCTCCGAAATAATATTTAATTTTCCATCAGTTTTAGGTAACTTAGATTTATCTATTACAGCTTCCTTCATTGGCGAGCCTTTTTTTTTGCGATTTACTAAAACGGTCATTGGGTTTGGAGGTGGTTGTTGCTTTTCGTTAACCGAAATTTGTGAAGTTATATTTTTTTGAGTTGATTTTCGAGTAATTCCAGATACATTACATGCACTTGTTACACCCGTGGTAAATGAGGAAATATTTGTGCTGGTGGTTTGTAGCTTTCGTAATTCGAATTCAAAGGGTTCTGGATCTTTGAACTCATAAATATCAGGTGAGGTCGCTTTCGGAGCAACAGATGCTAACTTTACGTCTTTATTAGGAATCAGATGTATTGAAGAAGTCGAAGATCCGCCACTGATATCCAGCTTGCTCATGTCTGGTAATGAGTGAGAAGATGAAGATGCTGATGCGGATGACGATGAAGATGATGAGGATGGAGAGCAAGCTGCTGACGGTTCACTTTTATTTATCTCTTTCCCCACAGGTTCTATACTTTTTTTTGATTGGCTTTCTATACTATCTGTGACAAATTTTCTGCTAATGTCTGTCTTTTTACTACAACCAGATTCTATCTTCTTATTAAAGCATACCGGCTTTTCTATAATAAGGGAGGAATACTTGCTACTATTAATGGTGCTTTCAAATCTGGGCTGGATATTTGAAGTACTCCTTTGATGTAATTCATTTTGTAAGATTTTTGGTTTACTATCTTCTTTCTTATCAATATCCGATTTACATAAGGCAGCGTCGCTAATATTTGCCTCTAATCCTTCCTCTTTTTTTACATCCGGTTTGGTTTTAAGACTCTCTTGAAGCTTTTCTGCGAGTGAATCCTGTATTATTTTTTCTACAACTTTTGGTACCCGTTCCACTGTAGGGTTTCCACAAGAAAGTTTTTCTAAAGCTTGTTGTTTACCGGCTTTTATTTTTTGCTGAAATCTTTTTGTCATGTTTTCAAGAGTTGTCGTTTTGCCTGATGATTGCGAGTCATCATCACAAAATGATTCCGTCTCTGAAGACATATCCGTAGACGATTTCACAGTGTCATCTTTTTGATCTTGTTTCACTTCTTGTTTAATGGTGATCACTTCAGTATTTGATTCGACTATTGCTTTGCTTTTAGAAGAACAAATATCTTTAACATCTATTACGCTCTCCACTTTAATCGGCTGTGTCACTTTTGACACCAATTCGTCGTTTCCCAAATATGGTGGCGAAGGTGATTTCAATTCCCTTAGTTCAGATCGAATTTGATTAAGGTCATAATTACGACCCTTAGTGGAGTTAATATTTGTTCCAATAATAAGCGTAGTATCATCCTCCTCATCGTCAACATCTGTATCCGAGTTGATACTCTTGTTTGCTAATTTACCACTTAAAGATCCTGACTTGTACTCAATTTCTTTACTACCACGAGTTGGTCGTCTGACTGGTTCATCGGAGTCCGTATCAGATTCACTTTGTAAAGAAACATCAGAAACGTTTGCAGATGTACGTCGCGTAGTATTAACCATTGAACGAATCGGTCTTCTTTTTAGGCCAGATGTGGCAGGTGATTTTGTTCGGCTGGAGTTAGATGCTACTGAAGAGGGTGTAGTGGAACGAGGCGGGAGCGAGTCACTTCGACCACGACCACGTTTTGATGATACTGACAACTTTGTTGATATTGGTATGTTGCCTAATATATTTGCCATCGAATTTGGAGGACCTGTCGGATTCAATGAGGAAACTGAAGGTGGTTTTGAAGGATTATCCTTTTGTTTCTCCATCGAATTTGCATTTGCCATACGTCCTTTCTGTTTTGACCCTTTAGTTATGTTCTCAGCAATGCGTTCTCTTGGTACCCACTCATCATAACGATTGTTCCAACCGGTATAATGAACCAGGTACATCGGTGAACCCCGTTGTACAGATATTTCAATAACTTTTGCTTCATAAGTCACCTTTTTCTCATGGTAATATACTTTAAGTTTGTCTCCTACCTCAACAATAAAATCGCCGGTATCTACCTTTTCAATTGTATCATCTTTTTTTCGTTTGTTTCGCTTATCGTCACTTTGAGGGGTTTGCTTTTTTTGACTCTTATCTTTTTTACTTCCAGCACTTGTACCTGCAATATGGGTATCAATGTTATATATTTATAATTTCATTTAGTGTTTACAACAACGTGGAGGACAACCTTAAGGTAATAATATGTAATACGGTTATCAGAATTTGTCTATCTATTCCTATACATATGTACACATGTGCGTACATTAGTGAAACGAATACGAATGCACGTTAAACATCTGTAACTAGAGCTAAATGATAGCTTTACAGAGTAAAATAAAGTACAACTGCTTAACAGTTGCAGTATGAAATTTCCAAAACAATTATTGGACATAAATAATTTATGTAAAAATATATTATATAAAAAATAGTCACTATATGTAGTTTGTTTGAGCTTTCTATTATAAAGGTCAAGTCTAACACAAGGTCATTGATAATAGTTTATATACATACATATATAAGTATGTACAAAGTTTGATGAATACAAATTAATTTCATTTTTATGTGAAGACTGTGCATATTTAGGAACTGTGTATTAGTATAAGGAAATTATTTATAAGTTTAAGTTCATTATGTTTAGTTGCACTACAAGTATTGATAATAAATTTTGTTATATACATATATTTCTGTATTTATTTCAGATTGAGACAAAATGATGAGCATACGGTCTCTGCAGTTAACACCGCGAAAAAATCATTTGATATGCGCATCAGCTTACTTCCTTCGATTAGAATGTGCAAAGTGCATACCCAATTATCATGCACAACATCGTTTTTCACACATTTCAAATAAACAGAATATTAATTATAAACATAAATTTTTCTACGCATTTTTAGCACTTGGAGGTGTAATCGGCGGCTTTGCCCTGTACGAACACAAATATAAACTATTTGGGGTGAAATTGGACGGAATTCATATTGATGAAATCTCAAGCACACAATCAAAAGAAGAAAAACCAATATGGCATATGAATGCACGCTCTGATTTGCCAACATATAATATGGATGAAGTAAAAGATCATTGTAATATTGAAAAACGTATTTGGATAACTTATGGAATTGGTGTATACGACATAACAGACTTCATTGCCAAACATCCAGGCGGTGATAACATTATGTTGGGAGCGGGCAGTGCAATTGACCCATTTTGGGCTATTTATCAGCAACATAATAACAAAGAAATTTTAACACTTTTGGAGTTTTATCGTATTGGAAACTTAAGTTCAGATGATAAGATAAGTACAGAGGATATGGGTTCCCCATGGGCTAATGAGCCCAAACGTCATCCAGTGCTTAAACCAGCATCAAATAGACCATTCAATGGAGAGCCGCCATTAAAGCTTCTCGTACAAAACTTTATTACCCCAAATGAATTTTTTTATGTGAGAAATCATTTACCAGTTCCTCTTATTGATGTTAATAAATACGAACTTGAAATTGCTATAGAAACGACAGAATCGGGAACGAAGGAACAAATCAAAACCTTAACTTTGGAAGATATCAAAAGATTACCAAAATACACAGTTACTGCAGCCATAATGTGCGGTGGTAACCGCCGCTCTGAAATGACAAATGTGAAATCTGTTAAAGGTCAGAATGAAACATTTTCTTCTAATTATTAACATCACATTTATTTTAAAAGTTGTATTTCAGGGCTTTCCTGGAATGCAGGTGCAGTGGGTAATGCAACATGGTCGGGAGCTTGCCTACGGGATCTTCTTTTGGAAATGGGGGTTAAACCAAATGAAAACTTGCATGTTGTTTTAGAAGGCGCCGATCTCGATCCTACTTCGCATTCTTATGGCGCATCCATTCCACTTTCCAAAGCATTGGATGAACGTGGTGATGTCATACTTGCATATGAAATGAATGGTAAAATTCTAAGCCGTGACCACGGATATCCTTTACGATGCATTGTGCCCGGAAATGTTGGGGCACGCAATGTCAAATGGTTAACTCGTATTGCAGTCTCTGAAGCCGAATCTAACTCACATTGGCAGCAGAGTGATTATAAAGGATTCAGTCCAAGTACGGACTGGGATACAGTTGATTTTACGAAATCTCCAGCCATACAGGCAATGCCAGTCACGTCTGCAATATGTAGCCCTACAGAAGGCGAAGTACTCAAAATACCAGCTGACGGATATCTAACTGTACACGGATATGCGTGGTCAGGTGGAGGTCGCCGCATTGTACGCGTTGATTTGACTGCTGATAGGGGCAAAACATGGCATGTTGCAAAAATTCAACAGGAGGATCAGCCAGATGGTCGCCATTACGGTTGGTCTCTATGGACTGGTCGAATCAAAATGGAAACCGCATCTACTGGAGAAGTAGAAATTTGGGCTAAAGCGGTCGATTCCGCATACAATGTTCAACCAGAAACATTTGAAAATATATGGAACTTACGCGGTGTGCTTGCAAATGCTTACCATCGTATAAAGATCAAAATCATATAATTATAAATGATGAAACCGCATATACATAAATACATAGAAGAAATATTAATAACTATGCACCCAGCATCATTTCTGAAAATTACTGTTGTGATTGTAGCGGCCAAACATTCCTAAAATATTTTCAAGTTCAATTTCAGACCTCGAAATAAGTTCGTCTTTGACAATTTTCAACCATTTATTATGACAGCAATGATGAACAATGTAGGCATATAAAGGCAATGGCAAACCTTCCAGCTTATTCGTGTTGTGAAAGAACTTCTTATTTCTTTCTAACCATGTATTTAACTAAATATTCACTTTGTACCTCGTGTACCAATAACTTATGTTAATAAAATTTTAAACAGTGTAAGTAAATAATTGATAGCTATGTATGATCGTTGAGGATCTTCGCATACCTGGGGGTGAAGAATCCCTAATATGTAACGTTGGGCCGGCAGAAACATCCTTTAGAGATGGTGCCTTATCCTTGTCCTCACATCGTGGAGTCTCTGCCGACATCTTCATTTTTGAAAGCGGCACATCGCAATCATCTCTCGATTTTTCTTCATATTTTTCAACAAGACCTTTAACTTTTCCCACTACAGCTTTTCTCTTATTCTTGGCATTGTCTAGACTGGATTCGCTTGTATTTTCCGACTCTTCCGTTACAGAAGGTGTGACAACCGTGATTATATTGGCAGTTGTTGTTGCAACAACTGACGATGCTGCAATATTTTGGCTACTAGAGGCAGAAGACGATGATGAAGACGATGACGCAGTTATATTATTATTTGCAGGTTTGTTCAAGGAATCTTTTGTGTTGTCAATTGGCTTTGGAGAAGCAACAGAGTTTGCTCGAACTAAACTACGGCCCTTACTCCGATTAGAATTGCGAGGTGTCATTAGCATTGAGCATCCCAGTTTACGATGAAATTCACCATACGGTTGAAGAAATTTTTTATACGCTTGCTTAACAAGATTTGTTACACTAACTGTTACTGATGTAAAGCCCAAGCGTACCGCTATGGATTTCCATTGATTTTTAGCGGTAACACGGTTGTAACCACCACATTTCTGTACTGCTCGAAATAGACGGTACAAATCAACGTCCCGATTTTGAATTGATGGTACTTTATTTAATGGTGTTCCACGATCATCCATATATTTATACAATTGAGCCACAAAACGATCTTTTTCTTCCCGTGGTTCATCGTCTGACGAATCGGATTCCAATTCACCATCACCTTCACTTGATGAATTATTTAGTCCAAATAAAGACTCACGATCCCAATGGGGGGGTAGTGCTCCACTATCTAAATATTGAAGTGCAGCTTGTACTGCTTGACCATCTTGTTTAGCTGCCGCTTCACGAGTAAATTCGGTTGTCTCTTTCTTCGGAACCGTATAATATCGACCATCTTTAAATGATCTTACCAAATATTCATCTTTCACTCTGATCCGCACATTTGCCTAAAATTTATTACATTTTTTTTTTAATCTAAAAAGAATGTAATTATATAATTATAAATAACTACTTGAGCTGTAGGAGCTAATATAAGCCCTGGGAACCACTTCTCTTTATCCTTCTTCTTTGTTTCCATTTCCACGCACACAACATTTCCTATGTGTTCTTCTTTTTCGTTGACAACTTCTTTCGCATCACTTTCATCTTCTTCATCGGAACTATCATCGTTCAACTGGCCACGTCTGCGTCCCCGACGTCCTCCTACAACAGGATTTCCGAAGTGCTCTGGGTGTGTTAGTGGTAGCTGGTCCAAAGTTTCACTCTCATTGAAATGACGGCCACTTTTCAGACATAAAGCTGTGCGACGTAAAGTCGTTATATCGCCATCATCAAAAACCACGGTATATTGCGAGCAATCTTGAATTTTAGTAACTGTGCACTCTACCAAATCTTTACGATCGGGATGACGAACTTCAACAGTAGCACCAACGCGCAGTTGCCCAGGTGCAACTTTTATTAAGTCGTCTGACACAATTCCCGATCCTAGTCCTTGCTTATAAGCCACTTTTACTTTTATATTACGCACCACTTTGCTAACCTTAGCTTCACAAAAGGCTCCTTTGTATTTGGCACTTACCTCCGTACCAACCGGTAGGGATGGTGGATCTGTGTCCACTTGCTGTGATAAGCAATGTTATAATTATATATAGACATAAATAGTAACAAATTTGACTGATTAAAAAAACTTACTTGCATTTTCTGAAGAAAATAACGCTCAAAACTTAAGTTATCGCTTACAAACGCCACTTTTGCGAACAATTTTTAAGCATTTCTAAAACGAACCAAAAATGCACCAAACTCACTGCACAGACACCCTCTACACTAATATAAGAAATGTTGCAAACTTCAGGATAATTTCATACCTCAACGTATCGATTTCTTCAGTTTTTTTGTTATACTTTCTTATTAAAACGTCATTTACCTGAAATGTAGCATTAATCTTTAGGAAACTTGTAAAACTTAACGCGTTTATTTTAAGCAATTAATTCACAACACAAAACAATACCATCAGATGCGTTGTTGTAAAAATATACATAATTACTATAAAAGTAAATTAATTATACAAGGCGGCATCTGACGTCAAAAGCGAACAACACAAAGAATAATTATTAGGGTAGCTAATGAGATAACATATTTGCAAATCATACAAAAATTAATGATATACGTTAAGATTATTCTCGTAGTAGTAGAAATAAATTTGGTGGTTGTTGTTGTTGTAACGGTTACCTAATCCCCGTTTTGGTGATAAATTCCAGATTGGTTGTCGTCGAGGTCATCTAACGGGTGGCCCAGGAAACGACCCCCCGACGGGGTCGGACCATAGGGAAAAGTGTGTTAGATGAGTGGGGTTCGTTGGGCATGCAAAGAGGTGGGTAGTGTCATGCGGAAACTCATTGCACGCAGGACATGTGTTTGGTATGTCGGGGTCTATTCTGGATAAGTAGGAGTTTAACCTGCTACAATATCCAGAACGAAGTTGCGCGAGGGTCACTCTAGTTTCGCGAGGCAACTGGAGCTCTACGTCTGCTATGGGTGGTGGTTTGACTCGTAGTACGTCATTCACTGAGAGGGAGTCGGTGAAGGTGTTGATGGCTCCACTATGAATGGCGGTCAGTGCCTGTCTGAAGTTCGTTGCGTCCGAAGTCCGGTCGGCGTACTGTCTAATGTCGTCGACGTAATCAAGAAAAGACCTCTTGATGTTCCTAGGAGGCGGCTCTGCTTCAAGCAGACGACTGCAGCGGTGGTTTCTACCACCCAACCCAGCAGAAGCTGTTTTCGTAGAAACCACCGCTGCAGTCGTCTGCTTGGAGAGGAGCTCGTTATGTTCCTTAACTGGAAGTATATGGGCCTCACTGTGTAGGTGTTCGATTAGGGACATCAAGAGGCATCCCGTGATAGTTTATTATTGGAAACGTACTTAAATAAATACAAATTAAAATATATGCATAATGTATATTTTGGTATACGGGGTTGCAAATTTTTAAATTAAAAAAAAATAAAATTGAAATTCAAATACATACTGCATGGAGATTTGTGATTCCTTTGTATAATATATCAAAATATTAAAAGTAATGTTTTCAGTAAATTTATACCGAGGCCCTTTGCATATATTTTGTAATATCTAACTTGGTATATTTTTAAGAGTTTTACGGTGACCCGAAAGCCATGATCCTTGATCAGCAACACTATTTTTAAAAAGCCACTATATTTTTATAATCAATTGCAGTTCCGAAACTAAGTTCGGTAGTTGCTGGCAAATGAAAAGGTAATTTTCGAAATGAATTGTACATGGAATTCTTTAATTAATAGAACTGTATAATGTAACTTCTCACGCAAGTGAAATTTCAATATATTTTGCATGAAAGTTCAAAAGTATCAGAAATGCGGCACTATAAGCGCATTTTACAAAAAATTATATTGCAAATGCATAATTGACATGACTCCATTTTTAACTTTTGTAAACGAGGTATTATATTGCGATTAATTTATTATTATATACAAACTATTTCATTGATATGGCAATACGGTATCTATTTTTTAATTTGTGTAAATATACAGAGTTGTTGTGATATTTATTTAATAGAAGAATTAGGAAAAAATGGAGTTGGACTGGCAAAATGATTTTCAGCAAATAAAAGAGCGAGGACTTTATTTACTGCAGTCGGAAAAGTGGTCTGATTGTAAATTTCTTGTTGGGGCTTCCCCAAATCAACGCATACTTTGTGGACACAAACTAATATTAGCCATGTCTTCACCTGTTTTTGAACGAATGTTCTATGGTAACCTTCCGGATGAGAGTGATCCTATTTTAATACCTGATGTACAGCCCGATGCCTTTCAAGCTATGTTGGAGTATATATATTCAGATGACATTAGTATAAGCTCCTTCGAAGAGGCCTGTGACTTGTATTACGTTGCAAAGAAGTATATGCTGCCTTATGTAGTAGAGCAGTGCACGGATTTTCTCTGTGCAGATTTAAATCCCGAAAATGCTTGCCGTGCATATGAATTTGCTAAATTATTTGACGAACCACGTTTAATGCAGAGTAGTATGAGTGTAAGTAACATACATTTTTATACCCTGAACAGGGTATAATAAGTTTGCCACGAAGTTTGTAACACCCAGAAGGAAACGTCGGAGACCCTTTAAAACATATAAATAAATGATCAGCATGATGAGCTGAGTTGATTTAGCCAGGTCCGTCTGTCTGTCTGTCCGTCTGTCTGTATATATACAAACTAGTCCCTCAGTTTTTAAGCTATCGATCTGAAATTTTGCACCTGTCCTTTCTCACAAAGAAGCTGCTCATTTGTCGGAACGACCGATATCGGACCACTATAGCATATAGCTGCCATAAAAACTGAACAATCGGAATCAAGTGTTTGTATGGGAAACTCTTTCATTTGTCGAGGTATCTTCACGAAATTTGGCACGGATTATTATTTATGGCAACAATTTAATCTCCGAAGAAATTATTCAGATCGAGTGACTATAGCATATAGCTGCCATACAAACTGAACAATCGGAATGAAGTGCTTGTATGGAAAACCCTTTCATTTGACGAGGTATCTTCACGAAATTCGGCACGTATAATTATTTAAGGCATTAATCCAATCTCCAAAGAAATTGTAAAGATCGGATGACTATAGGATATAGCTGCCATACAAACTGAACAATCGGAATCTAGTGCTTGTATGGGAAACTCTTTCATTTGACGAGGTATCTTCACGAAATTTGGCACGGATTATTATTTAAGTCAATAATTTAATCTCCGTAGAAATTGTATAGATCGGATGACAATGACATGTTGCTGCCATATTAACTGAACGATCGGTGTAAAGTGTTTGCATGGAAAATTTTTTTATTTGACGAGGTATCTTCACGAAATTAGACACGAGTTCTTGCTTAAGGCAACAAATTATTCTCCGCAGAAATTGGTCAGATCAGAACACTATATCATATAGCTGCCATACAAATTGAACGTTCGGAATCAAGCCTTTGTATTTGTGAAGGGTATTATAGCTTCGGTGCAACCGAAGTTAACGTTTTTTCTTGTTATTATATCATATGTACTAATATTTATTTTTTAGATTATAGTAGCCAATACACGCAATGTGCTAGCTGATCCCAGTTTTGTTGATATAGAAATATCAACATTAATGGCTATTCTTGATCAAGACCGATTGAATGTTACGTCTGAGTTGGAACTTTTTAATGCTTTAGTAAAATATGCTTCTGAGCGCGCACTTTTTGTTGAAAATGAAGGAATGCCGATGGCGCCATCCTCATCGTTAGATAAGGGAGCATTGCAACACTCTTTTGATTTAGATAACGCATCCGAAGTTGTAGAGATTAAAATGGAGCCAGACGATACCAGTCTTGTTCAGAGTAGACAAGAAAGCTCTGATACGTCGCATTTAGTGGAAGACGTGGTTGTCGTAGAAAATGATACTTCCACTACGTATGAAGAAAAAAATAGGCATAAAAATGCTGCACCGACAGACATAAGTATGATTGCGTCATTTTCTTGTTCAAATAATGAAATTGATGAAAGGCTTATACGCCAAGCGGTTCAGAAGATACGTTTTCTTACACTCACACCTCAGCAATTTGCTGAAGGTCCTGCGCGTTCAAAGCTTCTCAACCAGAATGAAGCTCTAGCAATTCTTATTAAAATTTTAAGTCCAACTATTAATGATTGTCCAATGCCCGAAGGTTTCTGCAGCTCGACAATAAGCCGTAAATATATTGAACCGCGAAGGCAACGAGATCATCATTTCACCAGACGATTCGTATGAGCGATACTTGCGGAGTTTTCAATCAGACATCTACCAATAATGTAAGTACTATCCAAGGCTGCCATGACTCTGATTTAACTACAAACGACACTCGACGTTCATACTGCGTTCGAACGCTAAATCAGCAATTGACTATAGAAATACTAGTGTTAACAGGTTTGTTAAATTAATAATGCATAGTTTTAAATACTGTTAACAATACTATATATACAGGTGTTCAAGTGCCAACTCAGGTCCTTTGTGGAGAGCTAATGAATTCGGCTGGTTTTTCCGAGAGATATACGGAAATTCTTTATGCACATATTCAAGATATCCAAGGATCAAGACTTCTGTACACACACTGTACGTCACGTTTAGATATGATTCATTGCGAGAAATAACGTTTGACCGGCCAGTTTATGTATATCGAAATTTAATATATAAGGTGTATGTAGTTTTCAACAAAGTTGGGTGGTATCCAATGTACACTTGCGTACCAGATGTGGTCTGTAACAGGGTTAAATTTATGTTCAATGTCGGCAATCCAAGTGAATCTGTTAGAGACGGATTAATTCGAGCAATAGTTTTTTTTACACCTCAAGAACAGTCGAGATGTCTTATGGAATACATTTTTTTTTCATTTTATATACGTGGCTAGCAATATATTTATGATTTCGTTTTTAATACAGTTGTTGCATGCCTATTTCGATTCAAGTATATTTATAGACACCCTTTTATTTAGTTCAACTTAAAGTAAAGAATTTATAACAAAAAAGCAAAATATATACATACATATATGTACAGTATTGGAAAAAACTAAAGCACCCCCTACTTTTGTTTGTTTCGAGTAATTACGCCGGCCAGTCTAAAACATCAATTCCGTTTTTTTTGCAACTAAGTTTCACAAGGCCTAGAGGTATGCTTAGGGTTATTGTCCTGCTGAAACTTCCATTTTAGTGGCATTTCCTCTTCAGTATACGCTAGCATTACGTTTTTAAAATGTCGGTATAAACAAACTGGTCCACTATTCCATTTATTCTGTGAATAGGTCCAATGCCGTGTCCAGAGAATCAGCCCCAGACCATAACATTACTACCACTATATTTAATGATCGTAACACAATGCTTAGAATTGAAAGTCTCTGTCGATTCGTCTGAGAATAAAATTGTATTCCATTTCTGAATACTCCAATCGAGATGAGCTGTCGCAAAATCGAGTCTTACCTTTCTATTTTTTGTTGAAATAAAAGGCTTTGTTGTTGTTGTAACGGTTACCTAGTCCCCGTTTGTGTGATGAAGTCCAGATTCGTTGTCGTCGAGGTCATCTAACGGGAGGACCAGGAAACGAGCTGTTTCGACGGGGTCGGACCATAGGGAAAAGTGTGTTAGATGAGTGGGGTTCGTTAGGCATGCAAAGAGGTGGGTAGTGTCATGCGGAGACTCCTTGCACGCAGGACATGTGTTTAGTATGTCGGGGTTTATTCTGGATAAGTAGGAGTTTAACCTGCTACAATATCCAGAACGAAGTTGCGAACGAAGGGTCGCTCTGGTTTCGCGAGGCAACTCGAGCTCTACGTCTGCTATGGGTGGTGGTTTGACTCGTAGTACGTCATTCACTGAGAGGGAGTCGGTAAAGGTGTTGATGGCTCCACTATGAATGGCGGTCAGTGCCTGTCTGAAGTTCGTTGCGTCCGAAGTCCGGTTGGCGTACTGTCTAATGTCGACGTAATCAAGGAAAGACCTCTTGATGTTCCTAGGAGGCGGCTCCGCTTCAAGCAGACGACTGCAGGGGTGGTTTCTACGAAAACAACCCAGCAGAAACTGCTTGGAGAGGAGCTCGTTATGTTCCTTAACTGGAAGTATATGGGCCTTACTGTGTAGGTGTTCGATTAGGGACATCAAGAGGCATCCCGTGATAGTCCGGAGTGCAGTGTTCTAACAGGTCTGGAGCTTCCTCGTCTGCGTAGCACTACATCCAGGCGACCATATTGGGGCTGCATAGTTTAGGACCGGCCGGCCGATTGCCTTGTATGTTGCCAGCAACGTTTCTTTGTCTTTTCCCCAAGAGCTGCCGGCAAGCGATTTGAGGATTTTGTTGCGGCTCTGTACTTTGGCAGTTATCGCGGTCGTGTTAGGAGTAAAGGAGCAAAGACTGTCTAGTGTAACGCCTAAATTTTAGGGTTTTTTACGGCCGGAATTTTGGTACCATAGACTGAAATGTTTAGATCCAGTCTGTACTCCTTCGTCCAGTTCGTAAATATGGTCGCTGTGGATTTAGTGGGGGAGAGTGTCAGACTCCTTCCAGAGAAGAAGCAAGAAAGATCGGAGAGATAGCTGTTTACTTTTGAGCACATGCCATCGATTCCATTGCCCGACGTCAATATCGTGCAGTCATCAGCGTACGAGGTCACGGAAATTCACTCTGGTGGTTGGGAGAGTTTCGAGATGTGGAAGTTACACAGTAAAGGGGAGAGGAGACCACCCTGCGGAACCCCCTCTCTAATTCTTCTCAGTTTGGAGTTTTGACCTCGAAACAGTACGGATGAATGCCGACCGCTCAGGTAGTTCATGGTCCACCGCTTCAGCCCTGGAGGGAGCGTAGATTGTTCGATGCCCTCAAGTAGCGTTGTGTGATTGACTGTGCCGAAGGCTTTCGAGAAGTCCAACGCTACGAGGATCGTCCTCTTGCAGGGTGGCTTCTGGTTTAGGCCATGAACTATCTGGGCGTTTATGACGCTAAGTGCTGAGGTGGTGCTGTGCACTTTCCGGAAGCCATGCTGATGTTCTGCTAAACTAAGGTGGTGTGTGAACGTCGGGAGTAACAAGGCCTCAAGTGTCTTTACTACTGGGGAAAGGAGAGGTATCGGACGATAAGACTCCCCTTTGTTGGCGGGTTTCCCATACTTCAGTAGTGGGACCACTCTTCCGACATTCCACACATCGGGTATTTGAAGAGTGGCCATCGACAAGTTGAGGACCTTAGTGAGGTAGCTTACTCCCGTCGAGCCTAGATCATCAGCATGCTTATTCCTCCTGGGGCAATGGATTTGGACGATTTGGCCTTTGTGATAGCACTCTGTCATCGGTGAAAGTAAGTGGTGCGCAGTATTTTGGCATTTTGCGCAGCCGTCGGGTAACAAATCGTTTGGCCTTGTTAGTCGAAGGGTGCAGTGTAAACTATCGGCTAAAATAGCTCGCGCACTTCTTCGGGTCCGAGGAGGATTGGCCATCGAATTGAATTTCAACCCGATCGTCATGTCTCCTCGGATTTGACAGGGCCTTGACAGTAGTCCAAAGCTTACTTACACCGGTGGATAGGCTGCAGGACTTCAGGTGCTCTTTCCATTTTGTCCATTTGCCGAAACTCCAAATTGAGATCCCTTATTCGGGGATCACAGGGATCGGCTTGGCGTAAGGTGTCGCCCTCGTTTGCTAGTACAGCTGCTTCGGCTGGGAAATTAGGGCGGAGTTCCGCGATTCTTCCAGCCGGTATGAAGCGAGCAGTAGCAGCAGCGATCACCTTGCGGAATTGACGCTCGCCAACGATGACGTCCGTAGGAATGGGTAGTGCGTTGAAGGTGCTCTCGGTAAATTTTGTGAAGCCGACCCAATTAGCTTTGTTAAAATTAACAAAAGTGCGGCTGTCCACAGAAATAAAGTTGAGAGGTTTCTCGATCGAGATAATTATCGGCAGATGGTCTGATGCGAGAGTTAGCATAGGTCGCCAGGTTATACTATTTATCAGAACACCGCTAGCGATGGTAATATCTGGCGAGCTATTACAGGTGCCCATAATTCTGGTGGGGACTTCGTCGTTCATTGTGCAGAATGTCGAATTGTCAATCTGTTCCGCCAGCTCCATCCCCCTACGATCGTTTGACAGGCAGGAATGCCAAAGATCGTGATGCGCGTTAAAGTCGCCTAGTACCAAACGGTTTTCACCACGAAGTAGCGCATCTATGTTCGGGTGATATCCTGTTGGGCAACATGTAACGATGTCAACATCGATTAGACGGTATTGCACGGTGTTATGCAATATGAAGGCTAGGCCTCCACCATTATCTCGCTCGCGATCCTTACGTAAAACGTGGAAATCTGCACAACTCAGAAGATCTGAGCGGCTGTTTAGCTTGGTTTCTTGGACCGCAGCTATCGATACGCGCTCCCGGCTCATGAATGCAACTATCTCCTCGATCTTGCGCTGGAGTTGAATTGTAGGAGTCGCGGTTGTCCGGTCGGGATCCTAGGGGTGAGTGGGGTGCGTGTAGGTGGTGGTTGTTGCAGCTGTACTATCCGCATGGGCGGTTGTCGCACTATGGTGTTGATTGGCGACGCCACTGTATGTGATTGCGGGGGCAGACTCCTACAGCATGGGGCAACATACGACGCACTCCACTTTCGTGTGGACCGGAACACGACAGAAAGTGACAACAGCCAGTACAATAATTGCACTTGACTGATGTGACATTCCGGCGTATTACGGTCTGACACACAGAACAGAAGGTGCGAGGAACCAGGAGTTGCTGGGTGGCTCACGCACGAGGATTGAAGCTGGATGAAAGTTGGGGGTTGGTCAGAATGGGAGTTATGCTGTCTGTGTGAACTCCTTAGGGCCGTGGAGGTCCTATCTTGGCCACTCGACTGGAGTGGCGGCGCAGTGCGCGAACAAGGTGCAGGTTGCACAGCCGTTGAGGCAGATGTCGCAGTATTGCGTTTACAGCATGGGGCTACGTAACTCGTGGTCCACTCCCTGTGTGTCTTAAGGCCTGAACAGATCATCCGTTGCATGTATTGCACGTAACCGAGGTGGAGTTTGTATGGAGCCTTCTAGCGCAAACGCAGCAGTAAAATTCCTCGGGGCCCGGGTTGGACTCGATGCCAGCACGGGTCAGGAGGATACGGAGCAACCCTGCTGCTAGGCGTTGCTCCAATGACGACAAACTTAACCTAGAACTTACCGATCCAAACAGGGTTAGATCGCCGAAATAACAGCCCTTGGCCGGATAAAATCCGGGTCAATTCCGGTAACGTAGAACCGACTGTTTTGGGAATTGTAAATTTGGTTGTCATATAATGTGGTCTTACAGGGCATCTTAAGGCAGGCAATTTAAGATTTCTAAAAATCTGTATTACTAACAATATTGCTAACGGACACCGCACGTTGCTAATGTTTAGCAATAGCTAAAAATATTTCATGCCATTCCTTGCTAGCAAGTAACTGTCATTTTGGTGGTTTGGCAGAGCTATTTTCATTTATATAGAAAATTTTGGACGTCAATATGTTAGGCTGTGTCCCAAACGGAATGTGTGTTGAGTTGGGGTGAAACAATTTTCTATGGTGTAAAAAAATTCTCATTTTGCTGTGCTTAACTGAAAGTAAAATTGTGCCAATTAAGTTATTGAATATATTCGCAAAATGAATAAAATTATAAGCAAAAACTTTTTTTACGTTAAAAGCTAATTACAATATTAATGAGACTATAAAACAACATTCATTTAAAGATTTGATATTAATTGAGAATTTTAGGCAAAGAGTTAGCCCCCTACTAGGCTATTTGCATTTAATATGCATACATATTCATAGTTTTATATTAATACTTCAACAAATACTTAGAAGAAACAGTTAATATTCACCTAAGAATTACATATTTTAGTGTATACACCAACACGTGAACAAAATTAGTACATGTTTGTCTTTGCTGAAAAGGGATAATTCAAACTCCCGAAATTTTAGAATTTTTTTCAATTATGCGCTTATCTTAGAGATAATTTTATTGATTTCAAGTTTATTAAACATTATTTCTTTGCATACTTTATTACTTTATGACATCTTACCGTAAAATGTAACAATTAATGAGAGATAATTTTTAAATATTTCCATTACAACCCGACGTAACATATAATATGTTCATATACATAGATATTCAAAATTGGTTCACACTCTTCCATTGACACTCTAAACTATTAAACTATTGAAATGTCTTTCGACTTTTCTACAAAAAATGCCAGACGCTTCATCGTAGGATATGCAGACGACATAGCCGTTGTCATAACTCATCGAAATACCGACATGTCCAGATGCAAACTAACGTAAGTTATGCTGCGTACACAGACATGGTTGGACTCACACAGCCTTAGCCTAGCCGCAGTAAAAACTAAATCGATCGTACTCACTAGGAAACCGTGCCGCTGGTGGTGAACATGAAAGTTCACTCAGAAACCATCCAAACGACAAAACCCCTAAAATACCTAGGTATAAAAATGGACAACAAACTGACGTACTGGGCACAAAGTCAACATGCTGTAAAAAGGTCAGCCAACATAACTATGTCACTAGCAAAACTTATGGCAAATACCGGAGGCCTGCTTGCAAGGAGAAAGAAACTGCTCATGAACATAACACAGACAGTGCTGTTATACGGTAGTGAAATATGGGCCGATACATTAAACGTGAAACATAGACGGAAAGTGCTGGCTCGGCGTACCGCACTGTATCCGAATCCGCAGTGTCCGTGATAAGCGTCATCCCAATAGATCTACTCTCGGAGGAGAGAAGACAACTCTGGTTACGGAAGATAGATGGAATAGAAGTACACATGCCAATAAGACAACAAGCAAGGAAGCTAACACTCGAACCTGGCAAAATCGGTGAACAAGGGAGCGCAAAGGAAGATGGATCGCCGAATTGATAAAAGATATAGAGAAATGGCAGAGTAGAAAAAACGGTTAGGTGTACTACTACTTAACACAGATGCTCTCCGAGGCAGGAAAAATTGGCAGGCAATGGTATAATTGTTTTGAATATTTACATAAATAAACAACAAACATAAAACACTGGCATATCATCTTTACTGGCATCATGCCACCGAAGCTATGCATGTATATGTTGCCTCTTCAAAATTTGTGTGCAAATGAAAATAACTCTGTCAAACCACCAAATGACATTTAATTGCTAGCAATGTATGTCATGAAATGTATTTAGACATCAATTGCCATAGCGATATTGCTAGCAATTCAGATTTTCCGCAATCTTTAGGTGCCTGCAGATATGCCCCTTTATAATACGAATGTTATCGACTTTTGCTCAAATTTGCGTCACTTGGTTTATGTTTATGTTTGATCTTATACTGGCTAATGATATTTAATAATGTTAAAATTCCTATAGCTCAGTTAATATAATTTTTAAACAAAAAAATAAAACTGGCTTGTCAACCAATTGAGCAAACATTTGCGTACAATTATTAAAGAAATGTCTAATAAAAGTAGTCCGATATGTATTGAGTGTCAAAAAACTGAATCTCTTCTTTGGAGACAGTCGGAAAATGGAGAAGGCGAGATTTGTCAAGAATGTTACGAAAAAAAAGAAACAAAGATGTCGTATGATAATAATGTTTGTTCAGTAGAATTAAATAAAATAACTGAAGAAATGAAAAGTAAATCACACAAAATACATGGAGAATGCAAGCACGTTGCAGTGGCGGAAGAAAAAAAAGTTCGTAAAAGTACCAGATCAACTCGATTTAAAGCGAAAAGCTGTACTCAGCCTAATAATATCACTTCGACCAGTTGCTACGTTCAAAACGTATCAAATAATACCAAAGTGCAAAGTAAGGGACGTAGCAGGCGTAATATTTTCAAAAAATTACCTTTAAAAACACCAGTTGCACAAGCTACTACTCACGTTGTGGAGAGCGTATTTTACAAAGTGTGTATGTCGATTTTAAACGAAAATTTTTAATGATAATTCATTAAATAATATTTGTTTTAGGGAACTTATCTTCAAGTCGGCGATATTGTATCCTTAATGGATGATAAGCGCAATATATACTACGCCCAAATACGTGGTCTCTTAGTTGATAACTATTGCGAAAAATCTGCTTATCTTACATGGCTTATTCCTACGCAAGCAAGTCCCGACCCACACGATGGCTTTGATCCAGCTTCGTATTTAATAGGTATGCTGGAATTTACTTTTACTACGAATTACTTAAATCCAGTCAATGTCAGACTAATTCATTAACACAATTTTACACTCTTTTGTCTTTTTTTAATATTTCGTATAATAAACAATTGAAATATATATATATTAGTGGTATAAGTAACTAAAAAACATAAGGAAATAATTTTTTATTATTAAAAGGTTGTATTATGATTATAATTATAATTTCAGGACCAGATGAAGAGCTTTCGCGAAAGTTATCTGCTTTACAGTTTATAATGCATGCACCTAGTAATTATTATCATGATCGTACGACGCCTTTCCCACTTCCAGATGCAATGGAAATTGATGGAAAGACAAGAGGTTTTATTTGGACTACTTTGTCCGAATATCATCGAACTGTTAACTTATGAAATATAACAAATTATTTTGTAATAAATTGATTGCATGAAGAATAAAGACAGCAAGATCATAAAGACAGTATGAATTATTATCTAGAAAAAAAATAATTTATATTTCTTTGAAGAATTGTGCACGAATATTTTTTAAATGTTTAAATTGAACAAAAATACCCATATGAAAGTGAATATACTTTTCATTTATGTGATGAATCAGTTTTTTAATATTTATTTAAAATGCTAACATATTTTTTTCTACGATCAAGTCACCTTAGTCATGATAATATTCTATATTCATATTTTTTATTTTTCTAAGCGAAAGATCTATTTTTTGATGTATTTGCGATGTGCCCACCGCTATATATAATATTTTCCAATTAGAGTTCTCTTATAAGTGACTTGCTTTTTGAGTTAGGATGCCTTATATTTGATTTTGAAAGAGAATTGTGCAAGTACATGAATTTAAGAGAGGGCATGCGCTTGGTAGTTAAGGTAATTGTATAAATATAATTACAATTTTTTCTTAATTTGCTCTTATGAAATTACTTTCAGTTGCCATCGCGGTTTAATTTCATAAGAAATTGAAATAACACATTGCACTCTTTATGCTTGATAAAGTTGAAATTTGTGCCACAAATGTACATATTGTTAAGCAAGAAGCTAGAAGAAAAAAATTAATGAATAAAAGTAAAGTATACTCGACTTAAATATTTGACAAGATATATTTCTTATCGCATTTTAATAATAGATGGACAATATGGTAACACAGAAAGCTTCTTGCTACAATGAGTATTTCATACATATGAATGGGTATACTTATTTCTCTGGTGCTCTTATGCTGTAAATTAATCTGTATAAGATGTTCGTATATGCTTACGTATTTAGGTAGATTTGTGCAGAGAAATTTGTTATAATTGGTGAGAGTTGTGCAACGTATCTTTTGACTAGTAATCTAAATTTTGATATCGTTTTTTATTTATTATCGCTCTTCAAATACCTACACTCAAATACTTAGTTCTGTTACAGCACGTTTGTATTTGCACTTATTTGTTTGTATGTGTACAAGTATATGTAGATGCATAAAGTTGACAAATGTCGTATGCATACAATTCGAACAACTCACACAAACAAATATTTATGAAACGCATTACAATACATCCATATCGTAGTTGAGTTCGTCACATAATCGTGTTCGAGAGAGCAACTAAAAACAACAAACGTATTACTAGAAACAGGCTTCCAGTTAGTTAGGCAAAGTCAGATAGACATAACAGTGTCGCGCGCATACATATAATTTTGCGAATCGGTAAAGAGAAATTTTCTAGTATTTGATAAAACAGAAACCAGAAAATACATGTAAATACTCGTGATAATTGAATTGCGAACGAGTCATCGTCAAAATTTTTATTCACACGTCATCTTTGTTACTTTATAAAAATAAATGCACTAATCGTAGTAGAAAAAAAAGACTTAAAAGGTCTGAGTGAAATACTTAGTATTTGTATTAAGTGAAAAAGTTTGAAGAATTTGTGAATTTTTATTAAAATAAAACGTACATGCATACATTTGTATGTATATGACGATAATAAGTTCTTCTTTTTGTTCCGTTTGTTTCTTTCACATGAATGCATGTATAGTGTGCAATTGGGCGTGAGTGTACGTAGCTGTATGCGTGGGTTTTGTATCTATGTTATAGAGATGCAGATATTAAAAAAATTAACTGCAAAATGTACATAAGAATCATATTTACATATACATATATGTATATTTTTAGGCCATATTAGTGTTTTTGTTTCGTGGCTATCGACTTTGCAAGTAGAGGGCAAACAAAGGCAATCAGTATTAAAGCAAATACATCTATGCGTTTGTCCCTACACATATAACAGTTCATAACAAAACACTGTAAAACGCAACAAAAGCAACAGTCGCCACATTAACGACACAACAATAACGAAAAAACAACACGTGAACACGAACACAAGCAGGTTCAGCCAACAACAGGCCATAATTGTGTATGTGTGTGGCTGCGTGCAAATGTATGTATTCTGTTTCTTTTTAATTGCTCTTCCTAAGTTCCGTGGATTGTGAGCTGAAAAGATTTTACATTTTGTAAAATTAAACCACAGTGCACACCGTAAAACTTGAAATATTACATCGAAATAGATGATAAATCAGTCTAAAATACTAGCAAAACTACTAGGATAACCGTTAAATTCAATGACTTAAAATCTGATTGAATAATTTTTTTCCTATTTGCATCCATATGCATTAATAGAATAACAAAAGAAAGGGTGTAAAAAGATTTAATCACTGTATTCTACCAATGTGAATGAAGAGAGTTATTCATAAGAGAAAAAAAAATAACAAGAACAGCAATGCGAAATGTCAGCAACTGCCTAAATCCACGTCCAATAAGAAATCTTGGGTAAACAAGTTGTATAAAAATTAATTTCAAAAATGCACTGGTAAATACCCATATTACAAGTGAAGATGGCAAGAGTAATTAAATAGGTATTGGGGGCGTTATAGTTGAAAGAAGTTTAGTAGGAAATCAAGTTAAAAATGGAACATACATGCATATGGACATATGTATATTTAGATCAATCTGAGTATAGGTATATTTACATACATATATTTATGTACATACATATACATATATATTTTGTACATATTTACATATTTTTCTATAGAAGTAAATGTACAAGTATACAAATGCCTCTGAACTGATTACTTTAAAAAAGGACTACTGTATCAGAACCGATCTGTTATGAATTTGCATATACCTATGTACGTGCATGAAAATTTTATTTTTAAATGCGTTATGTGAGGTCAATCACATCTCATCACATACATACGTATTGTTTTTTTTTACCAACTCTCCTCCCTTGTTTGATTCATAATTTCATATTCATAGTGGTGCACATTTCAAAGAGAGTTGACGTTAAAGCACACAAAAGGATACTGTTTTAGTAGATGAATGATTACTCGTACCAAGAAAAAACAACATACATACCAATATCGATATTATATGGATCTATATATTATAAACATATAAATCAAAATATCAAATACATAAAAGCTTACATAATTTTATATACGGACATAATAACTATATATGCTTTGATTTCTAAAATGTACTCCCCTGTTCTATGTATCGCCAACCAATAAGATTTTTGTATTATACCATATGTAGCTTTCTTTGAAATGGTTTTGTATTTGCAGCTATAAATGTATGTATATGTACATACTTACATACATATTTCTATAGTACATGCAGTATTGTAAATAAATTAAAACTCTTTGCCCGATTTAGGAAACTTTAAATTCAATTTTTGTGAACTAATTCTATACATTTTTTCGTGGAGATTTAAAACAGAGCACGTTTTTCATACTTTTTTGTTCAACATTTTCATTGAATCTATGATTTAATATTCAATGCCTTCAATAGTACATACATATACTGATGGTTTTTAACTAAGAGTTTAGCGAAAAGTAATAGGATTATTCTTATATTTTATTAATTTTTTGTGGATTTGAAAGTATTGTACCACCTAAGAGCCATTAACATGAACTTCCCTAGACTCATTCATATGACGAATAATTGTTAAAATGATAAATATCAAAATCGGTTCATAAACCATAGTCTTTTCAATTTTAACTTTTCAACTATTTTTCCCCTCTTTTGCAGAATTGAATTTAAGAGTTGGCCATTTTTTCCAGTCTCAAAAGTGGAAACTGTCCGAAAAATTTCTTATCTATTGGATTTATTTTCATCTTAGAGTACAAAAACCCTCGTGCATCATTCAATTAAACAAATTAAAATTGCTATGTCGACAGGATTGAAGGTACTCCTAGATGCTGCTCAGTATATTGAGCATCAAGAGAAACTGAAGAGGTCTCCAACTACTGCCTCAAATGGATCTGTCGGGGAACCCTATATTAGTCAATGCTCTGTGGGTTTTGATATAGCAAATGGTGTTCGCAGTAACAACAACGTTATGAACGCAAGAAATACACGATCCACCACGGATTTGGTTAAAGTTTCCTCTTCTGCACCAACTGCAAGTACTACGTTTCATCATATTACAAACGGGGTGATCATAACCAACAATAACAGTTCTCTAAATGGAAGTCAACTGCTAGTTGAAATGAAACCTAGTCAACGTAAGCATAACAACAACAGAGCCATGAATGAATACGATGAAACAATCGAAGCCTTGAAAACCAGCCCAAAAATACTAAATTCCTCCAAATTGTTATCAATACAAACGAATTCTACGACTGACAGTGCTGTCAATGGAACTAGTATATCCGGTAAGTAATAGTAGCGTAATGTAGCAATATTGGTTTTATAGTAGTTAGTAGGCAAAAATAATAACAATTTTATGATGATTTTACATCCTTAAGCATTGCTGGATATCATTCATTTGGATACATTATTCAATTTGTTAAACACTCTAGTGTTTCTGTCGTTGGTTTATTGATAAGATAAGATTAAGGTATCAGTGGGCTTATAATACTTCATCTGCTTCCTCTCCCTATCAAAGGAACGTTTGTCATGATCTGCTGGTGTCTAGTATTCAATTGGATACTAAGGTTTAAAGATAGCCTTTGACCAGAGCTCAACGCGGAGCAGGCTGGCCACCAGTTTCGGAAGATCACAGTCATATTTCATATTAAGGCACAAACGTTTTTTGAAGAATTCGTTAAAAAACAAGAATGGATGGGCTAAGTTTGAACGTAACTGAGTTTATACCCTCGCAATTTGTAAGGGTTAAAGGCGGTTAAATATTTTTAGGTATTTACAGTTATATATTAAAAAACGTTGCAAATAAATTCCAAAACTATTACTCAACGAAATCATGAATGGATTATAATCGTGTTTGGTATCTTATTAACATAGACTATTTTTAATATACTCAATAAATTTCATTACTTGATTGGTTTTGGTTCATGTCCGATGATTGGTGATTGATATAGGTATGTACTGTAACGTGAAGGAATAGGATGGAATTTAAAAATGTTTCATATGGGAAGTATTTGTGGTTATAATCCGATTTCGCCATTTAAAAAACATTTAGATCTTAATACAATCTTATGCATCAAATTTGGTTCATATTAGCTGTATAGTTGCGGAGATTCACACGAGGTGCGTGGTTATCAGCCGTTTTCTCAAGGTATGAAGAGTTGCTAGAAATACTTGTTTTAATTAAATTTAGTCGATATAGCCTTAGAAGTTTAAAAGAGGCGTCCAGTATTGCTGCTTCGGCAGCACTCATATTTCGGGTTTACGTTCTATCTCTTTTTTGACTCCAAATTGTTTTTTCCATTAACATCGAACTTAAATTTTATCTATTACTACACAATGATTTAGCAACGCGGTTGACTTATTCGATAAGTAAATACTTAAAGCCTTTATTATTCCCAAGTGGCATTACTAATTCGAATATATTTGGCGCGCAAGAATTATCTTCAGGATAATAAGCATATTCAGGCATAATTATTTACAGATATTTTGCAAAACTACTACCAACTAATCAACCAGTAAAAGGCAAGCAAGCAGCAAAAATAACCAACAATAGTTTCAGCAATTACTTTAAAGACTGAACATAAGATGTCCTGATTTTCTTGATTTTGGAATAAACAATGAAGTCTTAAGCTTAGTGAACAAAAGAGATACACTTACGAATGTATACAATGATCATAGATTTCTAAATCTGACGTTATTTTAATATTGTTGTATTATATATTGTAAATCGTAGATTTTCATATGCTTGTTTAGTTCTTTTATTCTATATACAATATTTGAGTTTGGTTAAAAATTTTAGCCCTTTTGGCTTTTTTTTTCTTGTGTTTTAACTTCAAATAAAACTTGCATTAAATTTATTAGGGGGCGGAGTCACGCCCATTTAAAAAATGTCTCACAGATGCCCCTTTTTATTTCGTTTACGTGTTCCAAATCGGTTTATATGGCTTAGTTATCTTTATATATATCTTTCTTGTGTGCGTGTGTATGTCACTGAATTCCTCCTAGACGTCTGGACTGATTTTGATGAAATTTTTTGTGTGAATTTTGTGCACTGGAAAATGTTTATTTAACTCATTTTTCATTTATAAGTAGTTGTTAATTTTGGAATGTTTTTCATTGGATCCGGTAGACTGCGCTACCATCGCAGATGTTAGAACGTTTTACATAGAATTCCGACAGTCAGACTATTCTCGCGGCTAATTATACATACATACTTTGCGTGTTCGAGAGTAGGAAAACCATCGAACTCGTTTGTTTATGCCTCTCAAGGATTAACCAATAATATTGTAGATCTTATGGTATTACGATTACTTAAGTTTTTGTATATAATTAACTCTAAGAATAATTACCCGTTTTAGAATAGATTCAACCTTTTCACAATCAATTAAAACGACTTCAAGTTTTCATTCAATACAGCTTCTACAATTCACATCTCTGAAAGCATTCTAATATACATATTGACACGTAATCGATTGGTCGGATTATATAGTTGGGATGTAATAAGTTTCTAATAAGAATGCTCATCATTCTTCATCCTTCATTTAAGACGTGATACAGACAACGTCTGTCGGGCTTCTAGTAGCACTATATATGTTTTGTGGGTGTGGCAGTGGTTCGATTTTGCTTATCTGCAATAACAACTTCATCAGATTGACAGATAATAAGTTTACCAAAATTAACGTAGAGAGACATCTGGAATTCAATTCGTCTCGTCATATTGATATTATGGATATACATATGTATGTACATATCTAGGTGGGTGGGTCGAAAAACGTTACTTTTTTTCATTTTTTTTTTTTTGACATTGCATGGTATGTATGTTTTTGTATCTCATAATTTGTAATATTATTTTTTCTTACACTCGTATGGTACGTAACTTTATCTTGTTGGTTTTGTTTTGGTTTTTTCTTCTTACTTTATTTTAGAGGATGATTTTTCCTCAAAATCAAAATCGTCCCCAACTGCTGCTTTATTCTCAATACGACCTACTGTTCGATGTTCAAATGAACCACAAGAACATCAACAGCTACCTGCGACAGAAGAGGAACTACCTAAAGGGAAGAATGGACAGTACAAAAAATCGAAAGCATATAGACTTGTAGATAGTGACAGTTGCGATATTGTTGTCGTGACCGCTGCTGCTAACAAACAAATGTTACTAAATGATGGTCTGCGCGTTGCATCGCCGGCGGCTAATACATATTCTATACCGTCTAAGGCGATAAGCATACCTAAACAAGCACAGCAGCATCACTCGGTAGCCTCCAAATTTTCGCTGATCAACAGCACCTCAGCCCCACAGTCAATAATTTATATGCCTTCAGAACCTCTTACCCCACCGCCCATTGCGTGTAGAAAAGTTGATGAGACGCATTCACGGATACGCAGTTTTTCACTTTCCCATAAAATTCCAGCCAACCAACCACTTTTAAAAAATGGAGAGCTTGGGAAAATGGCCATTGAGGATGGAAGCGCATTACAGTGCATTGAAGACGACGAATCATTGACAAGACACAACTCGACTGGTAGTCACTATTTACAGATGATGTCAGCACAACATTCAACAACTACTACTTCACTACTGCACATGACTCCTATGATAAGTGCCAGCGGTCGAAGGCGAACTATAAGTTCCAATAGCAATGGGTAAGTTATATTTATATGTGTGTACATGTACATGTACATTCATGTCAGTTATACAATATTCTAGAATATATGTTTATATGTCTACGACAGCACCATGTACCAATATATAGAGATTATCATGAGTTCTTATTCTACATTTAGGGCTGGTACCCGTGAAGTGCACAATAAGTTGGAAAAAAACCGGCGTGCACATCTCAAAGAATGCTACGAGCAGTTAAAAAATCAACTCCCATTAAAAGAAGACGAACGTAAAAAGACATCAAATTTGGCTATACTTGGTGAAGCAATTAAATATGTAAAAGTAAGAAGCGCCCATCTTATATAAGTATCCCTGTTACTATCGTTGTATATTTTGTTTTTATAGACTCTTAAAAAGAAAGATCAGGAACTTGAAGCGGAAGTAGAACAGTTAGCAAAAATGAAAATAAATTCGCAGCTTAAGCTTGTGTCATTAAAACGAGAACTGGGTCCGAAGTATGAGCAAATGTTTCCAGGTCCCTTTTTGGATTTCGATTTGAACAATTGTGAAAAAGGTAGGTTTTATTACATACATACATAAATAAATAATTTATAAAATTTAATAATAGAATAACTACATACATACTTATATACATATATACATGCATACTTACATTCATACGTAATATATACCAATTTAATATTAAGAACAAGTTAACACGGTATCCACGATTACATAATAGCTTTAGTCCGTTACTAATTTGAGATAGTATTTCTTATAAAAAGGCAACATATTTCATCAGATGTATGTATTTGTTCAATACATTTGAAATAGTCGCGAGAAAGTCAGAGTTGGTATATTCTAAAATTTAATTTTTAATTATTTTAGACAATTCAAATGAAACCGGATCTCTTTCATCTGGACGTGGAAGCATACTTTATAGTTCATCAAGCTCGTTATCAAGCGGCGGCAGTAATGGAAGTACGACGATGTCCTCACCAGTCGGCGCTAGTGTAAGTTAACGAAGTAGTCCTATTATTGAATGAATGTTCTTACGTATGTAGAAATAAATGTATTTATCAGATGCCCCAGCCCTCTGCTCTATCACCTGTGATATCTAAAGCTTGCATAAATAACAATATTTCGAGCAGTGTGAATGGCAATAATAGCTCTTCCAATATTAGTGTGGCTGCAAAGTCTCCCGCCGTATTTGAACACAAACAACAGCAGATAAAGTCATCCGCTTCAATATCTGATTATACTAGTCCAACCGGTACGTCACCTACAAATACAAATGTAGCTTTGGCAAACAGAAGTATTACCAATGTAAGCAATGCGGCGCTTTCGTTGACAGCTAAAAACATTTCGGCCATGTCACTTACACGTGACTCACCAACACCTTCAACTCCATCTCCGTCACCTTCATCTTCGAGTTGTGTTTCATCGTCATCATCTTTGATATCATCATCTCCGCCACGTCCAATAAATGGTATAATTAGCGGACGGAGTGTGACAGTCAGTATTCCAAATAATGTAAAATTCGCAAGCTCTGGGCTTGGTACTCGAGTAATAGCTCCGGTTACAGCAACATCCATTGTTAATGCAACAACATCGACAACAGCAACCATATTATCGACTTCTTCGCCCAGCAATGGTGTTAATTCTACAAATAATGGTAACTATCGATGCAAATATTTACACTTTTTTATATTGTTATTGTTATACAGAAACATATAATGTACTATAATTTCTTAACCGATTGATTGCCCTCTTCCAAGTCTTAATATCCTATATGAACTATCTGAACGCATCGCATTTGACTGAACTATGTAAAAGTCCTAATAAGGCGAAAAATCTCAAGTCAATGACGATATAAGCCTCTAATTTGTACTCTAAACACGTCCTTTTAGCATTGTTTGAAAGTAGTTCAAACCAAAGAACAATTCCTTATGTTCACTTGACTTTTCAGGGGGCTCCAGCATTAAAAAATATATCGAAAAATTACTAAATGACATTCATAAGGAGTACGTTTTTCAGAGGAATATAACGTTTGTCCCTATTGAACTCCCTATTAATTATTCAATCTATTCTCTCGACGGACTCTTCACAAATTCTATTGAATAGTTGGAAACTTAGAAATTCAACTGTTACGGAATTTTCCTTTAGAAACCCATCGAACCATGACGGCTCTATTTACACATATATGTACATATTAGTTAGTTTTAGGTTGTAATTGAACTCCCCGCATTCGGATAATCATATTAAATAATCCTCTTGGTATCTATTTATTATCTCCTATATAGCTATAATGCTCCAAGCTTTACGGGGATGCCATTTAGTGTGAACCATGTTCGTGAACTATCCCTACGAGCGTAATTTCGGCCGTATTCTCAATCATAGATATTATATTCGGCATTCAAGCATATATCAACAGATGATATCAACAGAAAATCGAAGAAATACAGAATGCAAAATTTAATGACAAAAAGATGCTATTCCATAGAGGGTGTCACTAAAAAGAAAATAAAAAAATGAAAATATTCATACGGATGACAAGAAAAACGTTAAAATTTACACCCTTAAAAATATCCATACAAGTATATGTACATACATAAATAACATATTTGTACTACTGTCTTAAGAAAAAGAATTAGCTGTGTATATTGATAAACAGAAATTGCTTAATATTCAAAAAATACCATATTCTTTTAGGTCTTATATAGACAACGGTCGAATAGCAAGACTTTCTGTAAACTGAAAGTCAATTCAAAGATTGCATGTTCAATATAACGAATAGCGGCAGTGAACAACGACTATCATTGACAAATAAAAGTCGATATTGTACATACATACGTATATTGTTTTTAAACGTAAATAACCACGAGGTGAAAAAACCTCAATGGTACTGAGCATTTAAAACGACTGTTATCCTGGATACAAACATGGTTTAAACTTGCCAGTTAATATCTTAAGTTTAAATATAATGAGAGTATGCGAATATTGAATTTTACTTGCAAGGGATAAACACTGTGTTTACATAAATCATTTAATTACAGGATCGTTATTAAAAATACAAAGCGATTTAATAATAGTTCATCAATTTTGATATCAGGCCTGAATAATACTGTATTGCAAATTACTTATTATTTTGGTAACAAGAAATAAATTAAATTGTATGGAAATTATGCATATTTGGATATCTATCGTTATCACGTATGTACGTACATTACCTCAATAATAATTGTATTTAACGAGGTTTGCATTCATAATTTGGAATATAGATAACACCACCGTAAGTAAGCGATTCAGCTACTGATGATATGTCGGCGGGTAGAAACGCAGTTGCAACAAGAACCACCAATGGACAAAATACAAATTTACTCTTATTTTTCTAATAATATCTACTTATATCTATGTCTATTTACATGGTTAAGACCGACGTTAATGAGTAGAAGACCAAATTATTGCATTAACAGTCTCCACAATATTCATGTTAATATACAGACACATACCATGTACATTTGTACATATTCGTATGCTACTGAATTTTATCGAAACTCGTAATATACATATAAACATATTTACATATACATAATTTAAACAATAAATGTTAAGAAACACGCATACGTATGTACAATTTAAATAGATTTGAAAACAAAATAACATAGAGAATAAAGGTCTTAGAGTTCCGAACTAATAGAAACTCTCAATACATAATTATGTATTATAACTAATTTAAAAAGGGCAAATAATTAGCTGCAAAATCTAAAAATAAATAAATAGAATGAGCAAGGAAACAAATCATAACTGGTCCTTTAGAAACGGAATTCGACTTGAAAACGCAGTGTACGTTTTTATACACATGAATCTACATACATAAGTATGTACAATATGTCTTTATAAGTGTATATACCACATATATATAAGAATAGAATTATTATTGTACTTTAGGTCATGGAAAGTAAATTTAATAAATTATAATTAAACACTACATTGACTTAGGCTACATAGCCATAATTGCAGTTTCCTTTTTTTAAAATGTACTTAAAGTTAATTGGATATAACATATGTACATTATGTGAATGCATTCAAATGAAATTAGAAATATATCCACATTTTTACACTACTATTAATTATTAATTTTTGTGATTCATAAATTATTATTTATTATTATTACATTCAAATTCGTTCCGGAATATTCAATATACATAATTAATTAACTAACTATTTACTATGAAAGCTTCTCCAATTTTCATTATTGTCTTATACTTTTATATAGTATGTATGTATGTATGTATAGGTACATACATATATACATATTCTATAACTTCAGTAAATGGTTTGGATTTTAGGCTTAGGCCTGCCCGCCACTCCAGAGTAGATATTAACGCCCAGCAGAGTAATTCGAACAACTATTGATCGGTTTCGCACCGCCGTTACATCTTCAAAAAGTCACAGTTTGGTGTGCTCTATAGGCAGAGGGAATAATTGGTCCATATTCCTACAAAAATGAAGCCAGCCGTAATGTTACAGTCAATTGGGAACGCTATAGAGCCATGATTATTGATTTACAAAGGTGCTTCTTTATGACACTTGGATTTGTATATTACAATTTTTACTAGTTATAAATTTATTACTTCAACTTGCTCAAGTAGCTGATCGCGGTAGTATGTTTCGAGAGCGAGAGGACAATGATGGGGGAAATTTCGAGCCTCCGACCTCGACTCCTTTAGCTCAATTAGCGAGGTTGATTTTGATGGCGGAATTATCAAATTACATGCAGTGCGTTATATGGACTCTCCATTAAAATAATTACTATTATTCGTTAAGATTAGTCTTTTGTTCTTAACAATCGCCGCAATGGTGGAATCTTAAACCTACTACTTCATAGTGTCTTTCTAAGTCCTTTTGAGATAAAGATACATTTAATAGTTATTCGAAGCTAGTCGATGATCATCAGGAGATGCGGATGTTATGGTATTAGAAAAGCTCTCATCTACTGAGTCCATTACCTTGGAGAAAGTATAATCGGCTTTGTATTCGTCGTGTTGATCGGCTGATACAGTTGAAGTCTGCCAATCTGAAGAACACTAAATCTTGCAAGATATAGATGGGTGACCAATTTGTTTAGTTAACTTTACTTCCTGCGTGTCTTTGCTCAAATTGGAGTGCCAGGGATTAAGTTGTCATTAAGGAGACTATTGTTGTCCAAGTGGCGGTGTTTAAGCGATATGTAACTTAAAATTAACATTCTTTGACCTTCGATGAACTGAGCAACTCCTTAAAACCATCCATTAGGACCTTATTTCGCTGAGGGTATGTAATAGATTTTAGTGGAACTTGCAATAAGACTTTTTATTTTTTTTTTAAATAAAAACAGTTATAAGTATATTAATATTTTTATTGTTTCTTCTAGAAAATGTTAGACATTGACTACTATTATATTGTTTATAAATCTTTCCGTTTAACTGCAACATGTTGCAGGTGTAGGATCCAAGCCAGATCGCTTTGTAATAGAAAGTCGGGTGAATTCTTCAGCAGTAGTTGGATGAATTCCGACAGTGTTTAGCAAAATTTTCATTGTGAGGCCAGCTCTGCAAACACAAATTTTATGAATCCACATAATGATTACCATAACATGAGAATCTTACTTTACTGCAGCGGCAAATCCTTGCATAACCTCTCCTGCCACTGGTCCAACGTAATGCAATCCCAGAACTTTCTGATCGCCGCTTCTTTCAGCAATAGCTTTAAGATAACAATATCGAACGCTTTTTTGAGGTATGAAAAACTCTGTTGGTTTGTAGAAACCATGGAAAACTTCTATATTGTCTTCACCATATTTTTGTAGCGCTACTTCCTCTGACAAACCAACACAAGAATATTCCAATGGAGTGAACACAGTTGTAGCCACATTGGTGTAGTCCATCAACTGAGTTGATCCTGAGAATAGTCGACGCGCCAGTAAACGGCCGGCATGTATAGCTACTGGTGTTAATTCTAGTTTGCTTTGCAAAATATCACCAACCGCATAGATATGTGGAACATTTGTTTGTTCTGCATCATTGGCTAAAATTTTATCATTTTTCACTTCCACACCCGCTGAACCTAAATTAAGGTCTTCAACTAAACCTTTACGACCGATTGCAAAAAGCACAGTGTCGAAGACATCCGATCCTTCTTCGCCTGTATTGGCGTTGGTCCATCTCACTTTCAAACGACCATCACTTTGCTTCTCGATAGAATTTGGTAAAGTGGTAAACAAAAATTTAATCCCACGCTCAACCATGGAGTCTTTTATAATGCCCGCCATTTGCTGATCGAATTCTCGTAAAACAACAGAACGCACCATAATTGTAGCGTCGTATCCCAATCCCTTAAGGAAACCGGCGCATTCTAATCCTATATCTGGAAGGTATAAGAAAGTATATTAATTTTTATGTTTTGATTAGTTGAACAGGTTTGTAACCAATACATACACCCAGCGCCAATGACAAGCGTCTTTCCTGGCTCTCGATCCAAACTAAAGATATCATCACTAGTTATACCGTACTCTAAAGCACCAGGTATTGGTGAATATCTTGGCCGTCCACCTACAGCGATTAACACATTCTGTGCAGTTATGGATCGTTCAGTTCCATTTTTCATCTTAGCTATTACTGTATGAGAATCTTTGAAGTAACCTAAGCCATTAATGTACTCCACTTTTCTATAAAATTAATTTTGAATTTATATTATATTGTCTTTGACTTTAAATGCTACTTACTTATCTCGTAAGTCCACACGGGTAACCCAGTTTACAGATTTTATATGATTTTGGATAGCTTGAACTAGTTTATTCCAATTTGATGATATCTTCTCTGGCTCTGGGATTTGCCAGCCATACGCCACAGATTCCTGTTAGCAAAACATTTATAAAAATAAAGTTTCTAGCGTACATTAGATAAACTTACATGTACAGCTTCCCCCAAATGAGCAGCTTGATGCATAAGTTTTTTAGGAATACATCCAACGTTCACACAAGTTCCTCCCAAACCCCATTTAGAACCTGCTGGTGAAGGTTTAACATAGTCTAAACATGCAACCTTAGCTCCCAAAGCCACCGCTTCCTTGGCACAGGCAAGGCCACCCGATCCGCCTCCAATCACAACCAAATCGTAGTCATATTCATCTATAAATAATGCTTAATTTTTTATATATGTTGTTGTTTTGGGGACGAGTAAAGTATTTAGAAGCCAATCTAATCTCGTCCTTCCCCTTGTTGAGTACATAAACATATGTATGCAGGTATATAAATATTAAAATATCAGATGTTTTCAAATTAATGCTTTTCATAATTTTTTATAAGAAATATATGCATAGTCAAATATAAACAAATATGCAAGTAATCGAACATATTAACTTAAGTTATAAAATTATTGTGAAATTGACGACATGACTCAGCAATTTACAACTTTTATTTATGTACATACAAATATACACGATTATTCCAGAATCTAGTTCTTAAGTAACGTCAGTTTATTGATTCCAATAACCTATTAGTATCAGCAATTACTGCTTACGTTTTTTTACTGATGATATATATGTAATCATTCTTCTTAAAATATATTCCGAGTTAAACTTGCAGTATGTCACGTTGTTCTGCAATGGCGTCATTGAACGTGCAACTGATAAGAAAACTTTGTAACTATAACTTATAAACATTGGAAAGTCCTTTACGCTATATTAAACTAGAATAAATATACAAAGACGCACCGTATTTTAAATTAAAAATAAGAACTCAAAGAACAGATATATTAAAACTTAACCAATGGATATTTGACATTTCATTGACATTCATGGAAGATTGCCTGGAATACAACGTTCCACGGGAATTTAATATAAAAACAAGTCAATTCGATGATAAAATGAGACTTTCATGATTCCGACCTCTCGAAGGTCTCTTTCCATTTGCACACGAACTATTTGCTTTATAAAACTCACAATTCATTGAAATTTTCATAATTCCAGTAGTGAACTAGAATTGCGCAATTAGAAAAATACCAGTTTACTTCTATAGTAATATTTGTAACACCAAGACATTGGAAAGCAATTGAAAATCTCAAATGAATTCTATACTAATTACCGGTTGCAATCGTGGGTTGGGCCTTGGTATGGTAAGGACACTTGTGAAATTACCACAGCCCCCTAAACATATTTTTGCAACGTGCAGAGATTCAGACAAAGCTACGGTAAGATATATATTTTTTATTTATACGCAAATAATTTTTAATTATTAGTTAAATTATATTATACGGTACATACTGTTTATAGGCGCCATAATGCTACACAATTTTGATTTCTGCACAACTAATAAACTTAAAACCACAAAAAACAGTCCAACAGCAATTTGAGACCACTTCAAGATGTCTATAATATTTAAAAAGATGAAATAATGGCAGCAAACAACTGATCACTGAATAAGTAGGATCAAACAAAAACTATATCTAAACTCTTCAAATTTCTAGTTGAAATAAAACTCTATTCCAATTTTACTTCGCTTTTATGCACACCTTTCCGTTTGATACAATTCCAATTTTCCATTCCATTAAATATTTTAGCTAGTATTGCCAGTAGCAACAATTTATTTATTACCAACAGATAACAGAGGACGTATATCACAGAGAAGGTTTAATTGCGGACCAGCGTGTGAATTGTCAAAATTTAACAAAACGCGATGAGTGGAATTCACCACACCAAAGAATGTTAATGAATAGAGAAGGCGCGAATGTTTAATCAAATCTTTTTGAGTACTAATTTGTAGTTTTCACATGAGGGAAAATCGAAAAATATAACTTCGAAAAGGAAAATATACCATGCAAGGCGGGAAACAGGGAAAAGGCTATAAATAGATACAACGAATGTTCTTAAATGAATTATTGATGCGCATATCTATTTAGATTTGTGTTTTCAATTTCTCTGATATGACAAAAGATTATAATTTATACTTAA